CTTACCTTTGAAATTATGGGGTGTACAACCACTAGAGCGAGAGAGAGAGAGAGAGAGAGAGAGAGAGAGAGAGAGAGAGAGAGAGAGAGAGAGAGAGAGAGAGAGAGTCAAACTAACCATCAGGCCCATCCCTTTCCTGTAAACTGTCCAGAGTCTGAGGAGCATCTTCACCGTGCTGAAAAACAAAGAGGAAAAAAATATTGAGGACTAAAAATAAAACACTCCTCTCCTAGCATGCTGATCTTTTCTGTGACAATTCATTGAACAAAACAAAAATATGTTCTGATTTCATCTTTATGGTACCCAACCTATATCCCCCCCCCCCCCAGCCATTCCCATTACACTGGTCAGCACACATTTTGCGACATGAGATTCAAGACTTGTTTTTAACTAATTTAAAGTCGCTGGTTCCAAAACTGGCATAAAATTTTGAGTATCACATCAAGTTTTTGCTCTATGAAAAACAGGCATTTTTATGTTCATTCCATCAAAATAAGAAAAATAAAATTCCGGGGTTAAAGAGCCAAGCAAGTCTCAGGTCAGAATAAAAAAACCCCCTCTAACCTTGCCCGGTGTTGGTGAAGGTGACGGGGTGAGGGTGGAGGTGGTGCTTCCCTTGGATGAGGTGCTACGACCTCTGGATGACCTCTGGGGGGTGATGGAAGAACTGCCGCTGGTAGAGCTGTTGGGGGACGTTGTGTTGGACATGGTGCGGAAGGCTGAGGGCACCGTGGCCGATTTCCTGGGGAGTGGACAAACAGAGGAGTGAGACCAAACAAATTTTGATCAGCCATAGTATAGATCTAGTTAGTGACTACATTTTGGTTTTGAAAAAATTGCCTCCATGCATTAGTGCAGACTGGACCTGGTGACTACTCCATGATGGAAAATACGAGTTTTCCTCAGACTTCTCCTAAAAAATATTGGAGTCTCCAGAAGATTAGATATTGTCACAAACTAAGAGTATCAAATAAAAAAGTGTATTTTCAGGCTATTTACAATAAGTCACACAAGCATTGCAAAAATCAGCGGTGTACTTCCGATAACATTTACGATAAATTGCTTACCACTGATAGAAATGGAATTAAAGAAAAAAAATTGGACTTTATGCAAATCTGATGGGGTTTTTCAACAGGTTAAAACCCCCCCCGGAAGTCTCTGATTTTATCAGAGTACTTTGCAGGTCTGTTGGTTACTCACCGAGGCATGAAGAGACGGGACGGGGTGTGATGAGGAACAAAGGGGGAGAACCTGGGAGTTGGAATGTTCGGGTTGGGGATAAACAGTGGACCCTGGCCTAGATCTGAAATAGAAAAATCAAATAACAATATTCCTGAAAAGTGCAGTTAGTTTTTACCCATAAATGCGCTTAAAAACCGACCTTGTGGCTTTAGCGTAAACAAAACCTCAAAGAAAAAAGCAATCATTAAGTTTAGTGATTCAACACCACACTAAGATAAGCAAAAAAATGCATTATGCATCTTCCATGCCCCCCCCCCTCCCCCCTTTAAGATAAAAAGAAAAAACAAAAGAAAAGGAAAGAAAACAAATTGCATATATACTATCTTTTCAGAAGACACAAAACCAGGTTTAATTTGAAAAGAAAAGAAAAAAAATGGGAATAAAAAAGGATAAAAAAGGAGACAAATTGCGCACAATGTCTTTTCAGAGGACACAAAAAAATTAGGTTCTATTTGATCCTTACACTCCCGAAATCCCCAGAGCGAGAGACGGCCAACCTACCAGAGCTGCCACTCGCCGAGTCATTGGGCCGTGTCTTGCCTAGCACTGCGTACTTCCTATGGGCGGCCATCTTGGTCTGTAGGGCAGTGATGCTGCTGCTGCCGCCGGAGGAGCTGGGGCTGTTGTTGTCATTGCCGCTGGCCAGGTTGTGGCTGCTGCTGCTGCTGCTGTTGTAGTTGGTGCTGCTGGGTGGGCCCAGGGCAGGGTTGGAGCTTGCTGAAGAAATGCTCTGGACTTTGATGGGGCGCATCATCACGCTGGATCTCTGAGGAAAAAACCCCAACAGGTCCCCTCAAAATATTTTTCTTTAAAAATGTATGTGTTTTCACATCCCCGTCGACACAATTTACATCATTTAGGAAACAAGCTACCGACCCTGTCTGTCAGAGACAAGGCAGGCTGAGAGGGATGAAACATCTCAGCAGAGAGACTGAGATAATAAAAATTCTCCCCTGCTTTGGAATCGAATTTGGGTCTCCTGATGCAATAGCGAGTCCCAAATCGCTATACCATTGACGCCAGTGCTCACAACACTACTACAGCATATTTTACTTTCATTCAAATGGCACAGAGTGGAATTTTCTTGAGATATAGTGGAACATACACAGGAACACTGAATTGGTCCGTTTTAGTAAGTTTTATAGCATTTGCAACACAAACAGGTCATATAAGTGCTGAAAACTGGAGGTATGGAGGTGTCACTATGGAGAGTAACATACAAAGGAAAGAAGAAATAAGAGATAAGGACATTACAACACATGCTAATAATGCTACAACTCCCACATCTTTTACACTCCCACATTTTTTTTCTTTGCAAAAAAATACTGGAAAAAAGAAAAGACTTATTAAGAATGGCAAAAGAGATAGAAAAAAAAGGGAAAAAAAGAAGATTTTTCTCATGATGCTAAAAAAAGAATACACAAAAGCCTTACATAAGCTTCCTCCCCTGACTTGTACGTTCTGAATTTGGGGGTGAGCCTGTGAGAGCTGTCCGAGTTGTCGAGGGCGAAACTCGGCGATGGCAAGAAGGGCGGGATCACAGGCTTGAGCGTCTCGCTCGACACGTTGGACCGGGGCGAGATAATGTCCTGAGGAGGATACAGTCAAACTTGCTCTAACGGCCACCTCGCTGCCTTGGAATTACAAAGTGTTATTCAACATTTTTGGCTGTTTTGAATTACTAAGACCATGAAGTCAGAAACCAAATGTTCTATCTGCTCAATCAAAATAGTACGATTATTCAGAGTCGTTATCAAGATATTCAAAGAATTGCTTTCGAAAAAGCTTGACATGTTATGAAACTGAACATTTTTAACATCAAATTTCTCAAAATTAGGAACTGAGCAGATGGAACATTGTAATCCTAGGAAAGCCACTTCTATAAGATGATCACTTGTACAAACAACTCACTTCCTGTTTTTCCCCCCTCCCCCCCCCCCCCCTACATTTTTTAAACATTATAATGGCATTGTGTAAGACAGCCACTCGTCTAAGATAGTCACTTTTATCTTCGCCAATAGGTGGCCATCTTACCCAATTTTGACTGTTTGTAATAGGCCTACCATTGAAGGCACTCCGCCCTCATCACTTTTTTGTTTAGTTCTGTTTTTGTAAGATTTTCACGGCACTCGCAACTGCATAAGGTCATAATATGAGCGCGTGGGACACATTAAAACGTTTTCAGTTGGTAGAAAATTTTGAATCTTGCCCGCGTGGCGGCCGAAGCTTACTTTTATCGATTTTAAACTATCAAGGGATCTTTAACGTGCACAACTTGCACACGGGACCTCTGAGATTTTTCGCCCTTGTCCGAGAAGGCTAGGGGTAAATCTTTCCTACCAGAAGACCAGGGGTGTGGCTGAAAGACAACAGAAAGAAGGAGAAACAGTAGAAAGCCTGCAGAAAGAGTCAGGAGCCTAGAGGAGGGGGGCAAAGGAGGTGAGGGGGTGGGGGCAGAAAGTGGAGACGAAAGCAGATGACAGAACATTGTTGGAGAGCAGGAAAGGAGGTGAAAGGAGACAATTTTAGAGAAGAAATTTTTTTTTCGCCGCCACCCAGATTCGAACCCAGGACCTTTGAATGAGAAGTGAACACTTTAACCTTAGTCCGAGGAAGCTTGCTGGCTTTTAAAGAAGAGGTTGTATCTCAACTACATATCTCTCTATATATCTATCCATCCTTCCATCCATCAAGCTATTATCTGTCTATCAAACTTTGAGTTGTTGAGGGTTGAGATGTTTTGGAAATATTACAAATTTATTTGACAAAAATCAGCCATTTCCATAAAGGAGGCCCAGTATTTAAAAAAAATATAGTTAAGGGTTTTACGGCGCTCGCAACTGCATAAGGTTATATGAGTGCCAAGGGGTGGGTGTCAACAGAGAAGTCTTTACAGGGAATCAAACTAACTCTGCTCACCTCTCTAGCTTCAACAGCACAAGGTCTGCTTCGACTATCAAGGCACCCCGGAAATAGCAGGTCACAAAAGAGTGACAAACATACAAAAGTAGAGGAAAAATGACAACAGTAAGGATTAGGAAAGAAAAAGCAGCAGTTCCCTGTTGTAGATCAGGCACAGTTATGAGCGTGACATGAATCAGCCCATTTACAATTCCACTGTGCTTGAACGAGAAATGTCCCCCATTTGGGAACGGCCTAAAGACACTACAGTATAACACTGAGCCAATGACACTTCATCTAAATTTATGACTTGATCATCTTTCCTCTAACAATAACTGCTCACTTTCCACTATCTCCCCCCTCCCCCCAAAAAAATAAAAAATAAAAAACAAACAACAAAACAAATAAACAAAAACCAAACAAACAGAAAATTAAAAAACATTACAGAAATCAGCAAAATGAACAATAAAATTAACAATAAATCCGCTGCTACAAGGACTCTCACTAGAGTATACAGCGAAGCACTTTGCTTTGTCTCCTGCAGCATGGTGTCGTAGCTTGTCATTGACATGGACGTCTGGTTGGGTTCCTGAAAGGTTTTGCGTTCAAGTCTGGCAGACTGAGGGAAATAGAGGGAGAAATGAATCGCAATAAAGTATTTGTTTGTTTTAGTAGAGGTTTTAAGGTGCTTGCAACTGAATAAGGTCAAAAGAGCGCCAGAAGAATAGAGGAGTTACAAGAGAGTAACAAACATAAAAAAGAAAAAGAGGAGAAAAGGGTGATAGAGGTTTGATAGGAAAAAAGAAGCAAACCACTCCAGAGCACCCGCCAACCACCCACTCAATAAAGTATAGTAATAATAGAACATTTTAGTTTAAGTAAGAGTTTTACTGAACTTGCAACACAGTAAGGTCATATAAGTGCTGAAGATTAGAAGTGTTACAAGAAAGAAACAAACATAAAAAAGAAAGAGAGGTAGGTGAGAGATGTTCGATAGGAAAGAAGGAGCAAACCACACCAGAGCACTTGCCAACCGCCCGCAATAATAGAACTCCCTGACAGTACAACAGTACAACACACAGAGGGACATGGAGAAAAATCTCTGCATCTTCCGTGCTCAGTTTCTCCCCAAAGATGAAAAGGATGAGTAATTCAGTAACAGTTCATAATTTCTACCAGTAACAACAGTAAAATGCACATGCTTTAAGCAGGAGAAGAAACTGGAGGTTATAACCAAAATAAAAACATATTTTAAGATAATGCACAGTTTCCTTCCTCCTTATACAAGCTTTACCAAAACAACTATGACCCTGTCAACTTGAAGTAGCCTACCTCTTCTCTAATACAAAAATAACACAAAAACAAGCAGGTAAAAATTGGATTTGGACGAGTCTTTTATCTAAGTGAATACTTGCCTGTATCTGAGGTGAGGTACAATTTTTCAAGGTCAGGTCTGGCACAGAAGCAGACGTCTCAAGACCCAGTGGTGTAAGACGATTTCCTCCTGTGAATGTTCTCCCCAATTTGAGATTTCTGAAGCGGTTCGACATTCGATTCCACCAGCCCTAGTAGAAGAAAAAAAATGTGGCTTCATCACATGCGTTGAGTTGCAATAGTCTTCTTTAAAAATTAACATTCTTTTTATTGTCTATATATACGAGGGAAGATCAATCTGCTTTACACAGGGTCCCCACCAAACCCTGGAAATTTTTTTAGAGACCCCCAAATTTTTTTCACGACCCCAATTCGAGGGAAAAATCAGGCCGTTGCGCATCAAGAATGATCCCCAAAAAAGCCCATATATCAGTGATAAAAAGTCCAAATGTCTTTAAATGAATGCAAATATACATTTTATAGTAGTCTTCAAACAATAGATGATTATAATACTGGGTGACTGCCAACCCAGCTTTTCAATTTTCCAAGGGAGGGGCCTAATCCATTTTCCTGGGGCACATTACATAATAATGACAGCATGTGCTCCTCTTATATCTAATATAATATATGTATATGTTTGTGAATATACACACACAAGTAGGTACATTATATCCAGTCAACAACATGTCAGTGTGGCACTGGGATCTTGTGTGATTTTGGTATTTCAGTCTGTTCTTACTTATTTATATTTTCCCCTCATCATATTTGCCTACATAAACTATAGGCCCTATATAAAAAATGAATCCTGTTTTGAGCCGGAAAAAAGACCTAGAACCAGAATATGACCAGTCTGTGTGTCATGATTCATATAATAAACGTGAAGACGAACACTATTGCTCAAACTCAAAGTAAAGTAATATTAGTAATAACTTGAACGGCTCAAGTAGACCTAATCAGTGTGAGAGGTGTAAGAACTGAGGGAGGACAAGATGCAGGGACACTGAAAATCTGCCAATCTTGAAAAGAAAGCGAAATTAAAGATATAAATTACAATCACCACATCCAAAGAAACGTGAACACTTTAGTTCAATAACAAGGCATGACAGATCCCGATTCCACACAAGGCCTGCACCAAGGTGTGCTTTGCAGAGAGCTCTTATAGAAGTTATCAAAATTCCAAATACTAAAAATTTGCTTCCAAGTTCAGTTTTTGTCATCTTGTGTTGCCTTCAGCTCCCCCCCCCCCACCCCAAACAAATCCCCTATCCCGAGGGTATCTTATAAAAAAAGCAATACCCCCCCCCCCCCCCAACCCATTCCAGAGTCCTATACTTCACAGCGCTCAGACCACCGGTACTCACAGGTTCACTGACCGGTCACGATGGCGAACCTGACAAGACGTTTGTATAACTTTCTTTTCTTTTTTTTCCACAAGAGACAGCACAGGGCAAATTTTTAATATTGATTTAATTTCAAGGTGACACAGCATTTGTAATGCACAACCAGAATGTTACAAATGTTGCGTTATCTATCAGACTATTATCCGAAAATTTCTGGGTGGTAACGAAAGCGAAAGTACATCTTGATTCTTTCCGATCGAGCCTTGGTGTATACACTTCCGCCATAGCGGTTCAATTGCGTTTCCTCTTCGTGATTCATCGACCATACTATCTAGATAGCAACACTACTGATATTATATAGACACTATCCTTTCCCGACTTACCGACCCATTACAAAATTCCAGACTCTTCCCGACCTTCCGACCCATCTAAAAATTCCCGACTTTTTCCCGAGCTGGTGGGTACCCTGTTTATAAAAGATAGCAGTTCATTTTTTAAAAGTCTATTTACCAGTTGGTATAAATTTGAACCATTACAAGAAAGTAGGACAAACATGAATTCATTCACTACGTAATTTTTCTATCCTCCTAGATTAAGACGCAATTTCTTCTGCTGGCAGAATCTATTTACGTTCTGTTTTGAACTTCGATCTACCTATAGCTTATGTAAGGCAAAGTCGACCATAAAACCCTATTGTATACCAAATGAAAAACAATTGAGAAGGACAATTGAAAAACTGAGAACATTCAGATTGAACCATGGATATTATTATTTCAGACAGTCCAGACGAGAAAAGTTCTAGTATCTATAGAGGCATACAAATGAGCCGACGATATAGCTCACAGTGATGAAGAAGAAATTGCAGAGCTAATCAGCCAACCATTTGTGTTAATGATCATGTGAGCCCGATAATTAATAAAACATAAGTGACAAAAGTACTGAGGTGACTGTCAACCCCAGAGAACATCATATTTATTAAAACTGATCTATTCGCAAAAAGACTAAGAAAAAAAAAAGGATCTGCAAACCATAACAAACTTTCAAAGACAGATTACCTTCAACCCACTCTTTGGACTGTCAACCTCCACACTGAAATGAAAGAAAAGATGACTTCAAATTCTTAGAAATAGAAGTTCTAAAGAGAAATTTTAGAAATCTTATTTTCGGAAACAAATGAGGAGAAAGAAATTCAAGTGAAAGTTTAAGGGACTAACAAATCAAATTTTCTTCTTAAAACAATTATAAAGCCATATCACATAAAAATAAAATTAATCTTCATTGTTCAAACACTCGCACATTAGTATGGTGTTTCACCATCAACACTCACACACAATAACACACACCCACTCAGACATACAGACACACACACACGCATCCATACAAGAAGAAACTTGAATGACAAAAAATGAACTCACTTCATGTCACTAGGTACGGCTGCGGTGACTTCATTTGTTTTGGACCTTGACTTCTTACTTTTCTCCACTTTTGCCACTTGCATGGCCTTTGCAGCAAGTTGTCGCAGAAGCTCTGTGTCAACATCATCTAATAAAAAAAGAGAAGTTATAATTCTTTGTATTGTTCAGCACTGCAGAATGAAGGTAAAAAGGAAGATTTATAAATAATTGAAGAACAAAACCGAAAACATGTTATGTCAGCACTAAAGAGTGCACAATTTTCTTAACTGTTCATCCAATGTTGTGAAAATACTATAAACTCTCTGTACGTCAACTTCTTCTACAAGCAAACAAAAAATTGAGCCAAAACGGTAGCAGCACAGCAGCACCCCTCTGAGAACTCCTGGACTTTCACACATTATGCTGACACATGTGTTTCTATGAGTGAAGGAGGTAAAAGTCATTACGTCAAAGACAGTTTTTCTTTTTGTTTTGTTTTTTCCTTTTGTTTATATGAAAGCATTTGAAATCCTTTTCACCAACATGAAAAACTAAGTATGCGAAGAGATGTATAACCTTTAACATTGAAATAATTAATTACCAATGAGTGAAGCCATGTCAAATGCAGTACAGCCATTCTTAGCTTGGATATTTACATCAGCACCGATTGAGAGAAGAAACATAGCCACATTTTTCTTTCTGTGAATGGAAAAAAAATTAAATGTCATTTGGACATACACAGAACTCGAACATATTTATATACACACCAGGGTAACTTAGCAGCATAGAGAAAGAAAATTGCCAAAGAGATCTAATCATTGTTATTCATGATATTCTCCTATTGTTTTCCCTTACTGTTGAAATATCATTGTACTTACATTTTCAAAGTCAATGATTGTCTGATACGAAAGAGATCATTAACTTGGCACCCGACAAAGGTGTACGGGACAAAACCAAAACAACAATTTTCAATTCTCCAAAGGAGAGACATGGTCAGTATGCTTGGAATAAATGAAGGTGTGAGACTGTACAGTAAGGGTGTGTTTTTACTATTTCACATGTATGACAGGGATATTCTTTATGGTAATGAATTCTTAAATTTTGCACAGGCAGCCTAATGGCCTTCTCTTCTACAATTTTTTCAACCACCAAGGAATTTTTAATATGTGCGACATGCACACTAGATCTTTAAGAATTTTTGTCCTTATCCAAAATGACTGAGGGCTCTGTCTTGCCTGCCTTAAGTTCAGGGGTGTGGAAGAAGAAAGAGGTTGAATGAGCCTGTGAGAAGTTATGACAAAGAAATTGATGGCTCACATACAGCTAACAGTATTAAAAACTGACTAAGCAGAAAGTTTTGCAATATGAAGGGCACAAGGGGAAAACAAGAGATGTCACTTTTTGGCTATTTGAGTTGGTAAGAGGTATGGAAGTTGCTTATATGCACCTAATCTGGCCCATCTTAATATCCAGGGCTAAAACCTGATGAGTCACCGGATATCACGCTTGGAAAATTAAAACTTTACAAAGGAAATATGTGGACTGTCAAGCTTTTCATTTGCATTTTTCCCTCACAATGCCAAAAAGGGACATCACTTGTCTTTGTCATGTGCCCTTCATATACACATCCAGCATTTACCCGTGATAAGTAGCCTGCATAAGAGCCGTCCAGCCACTGATCAAATCCTGCTTATTCACATCACAACCTTTCATGACCAGTAGCTCTGCGATGTCTAGTCTTCCCGTCATGGCGGCAAACATGAGGGGCGTGGCTCCGTCCTGAGGCGAGTGCGCATCCTTCTGACACGTGTCCTGCTCCAGGATCTCACACACTCGCAGAAAGTCACCTGAGAGATCAAAGGTTAAAGGACAAGGGTTAAAGTTGCTCATCAACAACCCCCCCCCCTCCCCCCACCCACACCAAAAAAAAGCGTGAAATGACTACAATATAAACAAAGCCACCCTTGGCAAATCCTCTATATTCAACATTCTTGAACTGAGAGAATTTAGGAAATAGTGCCAACAGGTAGTTAACACATATATATAGCAAAACAAAGATTCACAACCCTGCAAAAGGATCAGGGATTTTAGACAACCTTTCAGGACAATTTTTGCCAGTTAATTTTGCAGATTTTGGATTTTGAGAACAGAAAAGCTCCCCCTGCCCCCAAATCCTCCATTGCTGAACAGAGACTGCACAACACTATTTTTCTTAGTTTCAAATTGAGCAGTGCTGCATATACATTTTTTTAGAAGGAGCTATTAGAACATTTATTTTCCAAAGCCTCCAACAGTTATTATTTTCAATGAATTTGGAAAAAAAAGAGAATTTCTCACCGAGTTTGGCTGCCTCGATGATATCAGGCTTTATGTCACCAGGTGCTGAGGAGAAAGACAATAATGAAAGAAACTAAATAGATGTATATGGTTCACATTACTGGTGGCAATGCAGAAAGGTGAAACACAGGAGATTTTGTTTCACGGAAATCTGTTAAATGCAAAAAATTCCCGTTAGCACCAAAGTATTTCAAAACCCCGTTCAATTTTCCGGTCTACATATTGCAACTTTCCCCAACACAAAAAGCTGATTGACATGAAAATAGTCACTGGTACCTTCAAGTGTGTGTTATCAGGGAATTACTGTGCATCCCCCCCCCCCCCAATCTTGTGTATTATAACATTATAACACATTCTTTAGCATTTACTTCTAAGAATACATCTGGGTAAATATGTAAGACACTTTGAAATTCTCATATAAAGTCATTTTTCCCTAAATCTTTCACGAGTTGCTCTCTGTGTCTCCAACAAATTACAATTTTTGCAACCCTGCCCCCCACCCAACTAAAATGACCATACACCAATCAACAAATCAGACTTTAGTATTAATATTATTCTTTGAAAACATTTCAGTGGAATTTTTAAGCATAAATACACACATTTATTATGTCTCAAACAGGTGTCTCCACTCAATAGTGAACTCAAAAGCACAAAATCTCTGCAAATTATTCATGCATGTTCACAATAATTTGACCTTTTATGCAGCTGTGAGCACAGTAAAACTTTTACCAGATTAATAATAAAATTATACACTCACAGGTTTTCGGCTTGTTTGTAGTTTTCCTATCCAGGTATCCTGAAACCTCCCGCTTGTCTCTGACAGTGGCTATTTCAAGGGCAGTGTTTTCGCAAACGTTCATCACATTTGGGTCACCTCCTCTCTCGATAATAATTTGAGCCGTGGTCATATGACCATTGAGAGCAGCCGTCATCAACGGGGTGAGGCCAGTGGAGGGCGTGTAGAAGTTCACGTCGCAGCCCCTGTCGAGAAACACTCGCAGAACCGCATCGTGCCCGTGCTGGGCAGCCAGTAACAGAGGAGAGAACTCACAGCCGTCCCCGATGCCATTCACGTCAACGCCAGAGTCGATGAGCAGTTTCACTGTCTGCATGTGACCGCCCTTGGCTGCTAAGGTCATGGCAGAAGCCCCATACCTTGTTTTAGCGTGCAGGTCTGCTTGATGTTGGCTCAATAACGCCACAATGTTGGTGTGACCATACCTGTAACAAAAAAAACAAAATGGAGCTTGAAACATTATTCATGCCCAAATAATAATTACTTCACAGCCATGTAAATAAACAAATCCATGAGATTTTCATATGGCTATAAAAAAGAAAACACAACTAAATCTTGATCAATCAATGTCATAAAAACATTGTAACACACTTTCCAAGTCATTAACAGAGCATTCATTTTCTCCAAATATTAAAACTGTAAACAATGTCAGTCATCAAACAAAATGTAACAATAAAATATACAATAATTTCCTTCTTTGCTCCCTACAAGACCTCAGGAGTAATTCTTCAACCACATCAAAACTGACTCTCTGTTCACAGATTCTCAAATTTTCAGTCCATAAATAATATCTTTACGAAATAGTAGAGATCTCAGCAACTCCTGTCCCTTTTGTGCTTATTTTATTTTAATTTTTCTCCACAACTCCTAAAAATTATGTTAATGTATCATCAAACTTTGCACTGATTTAGTGTGATCCCATCATAAAGTGTATAGAGAGGTAATATTAACAATTAACATGCAGCCTCCACTGCATTGACCTATAACATCTATCTAACATTAAAAAGGTAATTTATTGGTTTCATTCAATATAAGCTGGCAGCGTGGCACCACATCAAGCATCGTTAAAAAAGGACAATCAAGACTGTTAAAATATTATCTTCAAAAAGGTACCTCAAAGAATAATTTCCAAATACATGACTATACAAACATTCGACAATAAAAGACACTACCTAGCAGCTTGCAGAAGCGGAGTCCATCCAAATATGTTAGACTTATCCAAGCCAGCTCCTCTCATGATCAGTAATCTGACCACTTGTTCACTTCCATTTGCTGCAGCAACCTGGTAGAAAGCAAAATTTAAGAAGAATTTGCTCCAATTATAGAAATCTTAAATTTTTATGTTAGAGCAAAAACATGCCCCCAAAAAAGATTACAACAATTTTTGTTGTGGTATCAGACATGGAGTGGAGTAGGCACACATAACTCGTCATTCCCCAAAATGGTATCAATAGAAGCTCTGTGACTGCTTTTTTGGGGAGACGGTTGCCAAGGCAGATCTTACTGAACTGTTACTTTCATGATATTAACTCTCTAAGGTCAGTAAGAGTTTTCTGCCCCCCAACGAAACAATTTCAAACATTCAGGAGGTGGGCTGCTTCACCCCTGCCCGTCAGGAGGACCAATACAGGCTGACTGGGAGCATTCCAGCAGACAAATAGGCAGAGATTTCGCCTAAAAAGGTTTCCAGCTAGGGATTAGACTTAAACACATAATCAGTGTGATGTGTGCCAGTGCACAAACATTTGTCATATTTGCCTTTTAAAACAGCTACCGGCCATTTGCATGGGGTCCTTCTTAACTAGAAGTCCAGCAGTACCACCAGCCAACTGGCTGCCACAGGCATTTGATCATGTCACTTCATGAACAAACTACACATGGCGTATGGCACACACTCCAAAGCTGGACAGTTAATAATGTCCCTTTCTCCGACACACAAGAATTCTGTAAAAGTGCTTTAAATGGTTGCTGCTGATTTGCTCCCTTCCCATCCATCTCACCTCTTAATCTTAACTGTAGAATGAAGGCAGCAAGCGTTAAGTAACTTTCAAGTGAATTTGTAAAACACACACACACACACACAATGCAGAAAGACAAAGAGAAAAGCAGGAGAGAGAGAGAGAGAGAGCGAGAGAGAGAGAGAGAGAGAGAGAGAGAGAGAGGGAGGGAGAGGGAGAGGGAGAGGGAGAGGGAGAGAGAGAGAGAGAGAGAGAGAGAGAGAGAGAGAGAGAGAGCGTGAAAGAGAGAGAGAGAGAGAAGAGAGAAGAGAGAAAATGCCAGACCTCTAAATTATAACGCCTCATGACATATGTCACATAATTCACCAACAAAACAAATACACTTTTCAGACACATAAATAGCACAGTAAAATCATTTCACTTGACGAATGGACGTCGAGATTATTTAAATTTGACAAAGGACAAGAAATTGCACAGTTGGACCACCATATCGTTGCCGTCGTGCACCAACCCTGTAAGCGACAAAATTGTTAAAATCCACTTTTTTTGATTATATGATTCTGTATAACATACAGTATGTCCCAGTCAAACAATATTTGACACAGGTGAAAAATAAGTGTACATTAAAACACAAATGAAAAAAACCCTTATCTCCAACTGCGTGAAAGCTGTCGGGCAAAAAACCTGTAAACATCAGCGAGGCACATAATTGCTTTGTGCCCGGTGGCCCAGCGCGATCAGGCGTCGCGCCGTGTCGCTTGTTGGGTAATATTAGTGGGCCTAACAATAGTGTCATGCCCGACAGTCCATCTTACGCAACCGTTTCGCAACCGTGCTGCTTGCGTTGGGTCCCTTTTTTTGCATAGTGGGTCAAGAACAAAGAAGGTATTTTTCGCTGGAAAGCCCAGAACATTGCCCAAGACGAAAGAACGGATTAAGTACCAATAAGGTGTTTCACACTTCAAGCAGAAGATCAACAAACAGTCAAATTAAAATGCCATGCCCCATTAAACATCAGAAGGTCTATGCCCATGTATGGAAAAAGCCTTCCTTCACGTCTTCCTAAGTACCAATAATGTTTTTCACACTTCCAACTGAACTGCAGCCTCTTTCCTTAACTCAAAGTAAATATTGATAAAATGCAAAGAGCAGCAAATCAAACATACCGCAATAAATCTATATTCATATTTGGACATGGAAAACAGCCTTAATGCCCGCGTACACTAATCACAGGTTAACACCTAAACGTGTTAGAATTCCAAATTTGTTCTCCCTCGTAACCAATAAATCAACACACTTTGCCAACGCCTGGTGGCTTTCAACGTGGTGTTATATATATAAGACTGGTTTGTATGACCATTAATAGTGTTGGAAACTAAATTCTTTTTTGTGTCTTGAAAATTTTGTATTACTGTATACTGAAAAACTCATGCAGTCAGTCAAGGATTGTTAAGCGAAACGTGCATTTGTTTCATTCTTCACTAAACATGTTTCCCTTCAGCAGGGGCCAATGTTTGGTCCAGTTGTCACTTTCGAGATCTGAAAAATGTGCTCATCGTCAAGACAAGAATTCTTCCTCCAAAATATTGCCACTTAATGAAGTATCAGAAACTGCCATCGAAGACATAATGGACAATGTTTTCTTGAACGATACCTCAGAATTAGATATTTCTGTGTCATGCTTTGACACGTAGGATTTTTCACTGGATACTTGTTCAACACCACGCAGAAATTCGTCGGTGACCACATTTGACCAACCTGAACCAACTTCAACCACTCTTGGAGAGCTTCAGGGACGGGCTTCTTGTCCTGCCCTTTCACTACTTCAGTCCCAACGAGTTCTCTGGATGTTACGTTGCAGTCTGACGTCACTGTAGTTTCAGTTGATCATATTGCTGTCACAGCTGATCTTACTCCAGCTCCAGTTGTTGCCAGTATCAACACAGTCGACATCCCCTCAGCAACATCTACCGACACATTCGACGTTCCCTCAGCATCATCTACTGACACAGTCGACATCCCCTCAGCAACATCTACCGACACAGTCGACGTTCCCTCAGCATCATCTACCAACACAGTCGACATCCCCTAAGCAACATCTACTGACACAGTCGACGCCCTTCTAGCATCAGATGCTGGCCCTGTTGACTCTTTCAATGACCTCCCGGTATCAGTTGCTAGCATGGGCAGCGGGGTGCTAACAACAATCTCCTGTCTACCCTAGCCACCTGCAGAAGCTTTCCCCGTAAATGAAGAATTCTCTACCCTGACTCAAGAACCAGGGAAAAAAGGTGTTGAAAAGTGGCAGAGAAACAAACGGAAATTTCTCAGGGAGTTGGGGCAAAGCTATGTCTCTGCCAAGGGCGCCCAAAGACCAGCACGTCAACATCTGGAACCTTGCAACCGCACCTGCAAAGGGATGAAGTGTAATTCTCTTTCAGACGAAGACAGAGCAGAGATCTTTGACTGTGTGTGGTCACTATCATGGGAGAGTAAAAAAGCGTACATCAACGGTCTAGTTGACAAGGTTGATGTGAAGAGGAAGCGGACAACTTCGGAAGTATCAAAAAGACCTTGCTCATATTCAGTACTTCTTGAAGAAAGGTGGAGTAAGAGTTCGTGTATGCAAGAAAATGTTTACCAGTACTCTAGCTTTAGGGGACTGGATGATTCGAAATTCCACTGATTCCCTGCAGTCAGATTCAGAAAACCCTGCCAAACGCAGAGTTAAATCTCTTGTTCGAAGTGATGAAAAAGTGTTCCTGGTGAATGAATTCTTTGGATTATTACCAAAACTCCCATCTCACTATTGTCGTAAAACCTCTGCAAAGCTTTATCTGGAGCCTCACTTTCGTTATCTGGCCGATTTACACCGAGAGTACTTGAAAAAATGTGAAGAACTGGGCCGCAAGGGCTTGGGACTAATGGTGTTCAAAGAGGAGTTTCACAAAAATAATTTGGCGTTACATCATCCCCGAAAGGACCTGCTATGTGACTTATGTGTGTCCCACAGCGTTGGAAACCTGGACGAAGAGACATGGAAAGAGCACATGAGACTGAAGGAAAGAGCCTTTGCTGAGAAGGAGATGAACAAGACACTGTCTCTAGAAGGTTCAGCTGACGGAGTCAGGACTGCTACCATCTGTATGGACATGGAATCTGTGCTTCTTGCTCCCTCTCTTCAAGCATCTGCCATAGAATCTACACAAAACAAAACTCACAGTACACAACTTCACAGTCTACGATCTAGTCTCCAAGGACGTGCTGTGTTATGTGTGGCATGAGGGAGAAGGTGGGCTCACTTCAAACGAATTTGCATCGTGTGTGGTAGATTACCTAAACGCTAAAGCCGAAGTGGACAAGATAATCATTTTTAGTGATGGATGCATATATATCAAAACAAAAATGTTGTACTTGCCAACGCTATTAGTGACTTTTGCGCTCGCACAGGTAAGACAGTGGAGCATAAATATCTTGTCAAGGAACACACGCACATGGAAGTGGATTCCTGCCACAGTCTTATTGAGAGAGCAGCAAAAGGTGTTCCAGTGTACCTGCCGGCGGACTACACTGGCATCATGGGTAGAGCCAGGCGCAACCCCAGACCCTTTGAGGTCAAGTACCTTGATCACACATTTTTCAAGGATTATTCCAAACTCGGACCATACAAAAGTGTGAGGCCAGGTCGTGGGAAAGGTGACCCACATGTGGTGGACATTCGTTGTCTTAGGTATACGCCTGATCGGTACATATCCTTTAAGTTGACATTTGATGAGTACTGGAAGGATATTCCTCGGGGAAGAGGGCATGCAGAGGTAGGACCTGAAAAACCAGAGGTCTCTTTACACAGAGACCTTGAAGATCACAGGCGTGAAATTGAAACACCTCCAGGAACTAAAAGCCGTTATCCCTAAAGACCACCATGCATATTATGTATGTGAATTTTAAATATTCATTTCATTTGCAGCTGAGAGGAACAGAGGGTGAGAGAGAGAAAGAGAGAGTGAATGAGATGATAAAAGATGATACAGAGAGAGAAAGAGAGAAGGGGAGAGAGACAGAGAGACAGAGAGATAGAGAGAGAGAGAGAGAGAAAAAGAGAGAGACATAGAGAGAGAGAAGGGGAGAGAAAAAGAGAGGGTATAATGTGTGTGAGAGAGAGAGAGATTTAAATAGATAGATAGATAGATAGATAGATAGATAGATAGATAGATAGATAGATAGATAGATAGATAGATAGATAGATAGATAGATAGGTAGATAGATAGACAGAGAGAGAGAGAGAGAGAGAGAGAGAGAGAGAGAGAGAGAGAGAGAGAGAGAGAGAGAGAGAGAGAGAGTGAGTTTGGCAGATAGAGAGAGATCGAGAGTTTGGCAGATAGAGAGATAGAGAAATATATATATATATATATAATTATATATATATATATATACACAGTCGAACCTGCATTAACGGAAACCTGTGTGTAAAACGGAAACCTGTCTTAACGGAATCTCTCCGCTCCCCCCTTGATATTATATTCCTCTTTAATTACCTGTATAAAACGGAAACCTGTCTAACGCGGAAACGGAAAGAAAAATCCGCTCCCTTCCGAGGGTTTCACCTGTCTAAGGCGGAAAATGTTTTGCCCCCTCAGCCCTGATTTGAAACGAAACTCGCAAGTTTGGTTCCGCCGGCTCTGAACTTAACGCCATGGCCATGCCGCTGGGCGAGGAAGAGGAGTAGGGGGGCAATTTGGGGGTAGATGTTACACCATCATGTGAGCCCTGAGCGATGCAGATGGTCAGTGTAGTGTGGGTGTGAAATCTCACGACTTCCCGTGAGAGTGCTCGAGTAGCGAAACCACTACGGAAACTTTCCTTGGTAGCCAGAAGCCAGAGGTGTGAAATTAGATTGACCAATGCCTGCCGCCGTGATCTTACGACTAGCCCAGAAAAGAGTTCCTCGAATCATTGTTGTTACAACGATGGCACTGCGGGGTGGCATTGGTGGGTGGGGCTAAGGGTGGAAGCAAATAAGATGTTCAAACCTTTCTGTTTTTAATAGGTCAAACAGTGGTCCTATGAAAGGCAAGCACTGGTGGTAATTGGATACGTAGACTGACGCATGATGTCATTATCGGACAGGATAGCAGCTGAGAGGTGTGAAGTTTTGACCACTGCTTACCAATCGGACAAGCGATCCTTGATCCCACCGGCTGGGCCTTTGACCCCCCCCCCCCTAAATTCCCCTGTCTAAAACGGAAAATGTCTAAGACGGAATCTTTTCCCCGCTCCCTTGTGATTCTGTCTTTGACAGGTTCGACTGTATACAGGTTCGACTGTATATATATATATATATATTTAAATATATATATATATATATATATATATATATAGAGAGAGAGAGAGAGAGAGAGAGAGAGAGGGGGGGGGGGGTTAATGACATTATGTTTTTCATTCCTCATTGTGCTTTATCGTATTTTCTGAATGTCTGGATGTTTTTTCGTGTTTTATTGTTTGTTTGTTTCTTTTTTTGTTTGTATATTGTATAAACGGCAAATAAAGATTCTATTAGCAAACCATGACAAGCCAGTGGTTCTTTATGTTTAAATGTCTTTAATTTTTTCTTTAAGGAGAACAAACAATGACAAATTATGCCGTCATCAAAATATACTCAAAAACAAAAACCACTGAAACGACATTATCTGACGACAAGCAATTCAGACCCGCCGTGCATGAAACAGGGTATGCGACACGCTTGGTGCTTACTGGGTTGGTGCACGACGATAAACACGAGCAGAAATCTCGTAAGTCCTTTTTCTTTGTAATTATTCATTTTACTACTCCCAACAACATCATGTGAAAAGGTGAAGAATCATATTTCATGTGTAAAAGTTGAAAAGTTTTCTAAAAAATAGTAAGAAATAAAAGAAATAATTAGTGTTTTGCTTCTCCTGTAAAATTTCGTCGGTGGCGCATTAGGGGGTAGGTGCACGACAGCAACGATATTTGAACATGAACAAGTGTAATACTGCCATCCCTAAACCTCTTGAACGTCCCAAGCCCAAGGCAAGTGTCACGGCTTGTGTGCTTGTCATTGTGTAGTATAGGATCTGTGTTGTAAGAGGTTTGGAAAAGATAATAGTCAATAGAAAGATCAAAGGAATCAACATACCTGGAGAGCAGTGTTTTCCTCATCATCTAGTACACAATCAACTTCGCATCCATCCTCGAGCAACGCCTGGACACAGTCTGTATCTCCCTGCTCACAAGCACAGTAGAGTTGTCTTGACCTCTCCATTTGTAGGATGCTCAGTTAGTGTCAAAGCAGTATTTTTATTGATTGAGGTCAACGATGGTATAACAAACAATTTCATACATAGTAGGGTGATCAGATCAGGAAAATGAGTGCACACTTGCTCTTTATTGCACGGAACACGTTAAAATACACAAAAAACAGTCTGTATTCACATTGTTGGCCTGCCTGAATCATTGCCTGATTAGACCCGCTCAGAAGTAAAAATTGAGTTGAAGTTGAACTATTAATTACACTTCAATGATCTAGATCTAGAGGTTACGTTCCAGACAATAGGCTACGGAGGGATCTCACCAGGAAAGTTTCTCTGTTCATTAGCTTCTTTCACAAAAAAGAGGTTGTGTTGTACTTTGTCTTGCCAAAGTTTGATTTCAGCTGACTTCGTCTTTGACTGGTTACTTTTTTACAAGACGAGACACTTCCATTCCTCGGATGAGAGTTTCGCTCAAAATGCCTAGATTGTTAATTAAGAAATATCAGACATCACCATAGTAACAGCACGGTTATCTCTTTACATCACATCTGAAGCCATGATTTCAAAGTCTTGTAGGGAAGAGTAAATCAAAATGTTCCAACAACAAGTTGACCACGGTCCAATGGCCACACCACGACAATGCACTTGTTGTGGTGCCAGAGAGCCACCAGTTCCAGGGGCCAGGTCCTGCCTCGAAATGTAAACAAACGATGCGAGAACAGACCTCAGCCATTTTGTCTGCGACTGTCTGGTAAAATTATGTTTTTGAGAATTCCTTCACAATTAAGCAAATGGAGTAAATATTCACTATTTTTTAATGGATCATGACAAAAAAGTGTTCCTTAAAGTAAGTAATTGAGTAAAGTTTATGACACGATGCATTTAAACGGTGGTGTGTCTTTCTAATAATATGCATCTGGAGGAACATCTCAACTGTAAACCTGAAGTCTGAGTTGAAGTAAAAATAATCAGTGAAACATTTTCTTCAGTCATTAAACTATGAATGATTTTAAAACTCAAACCTTCCAATTCTGTTAAAAAGTGTGCTTGAAGAAAAAGAGCCAAAAACAGCGAGAAATCTGCATTATTGGCATAACATCATTCCCTGACGTAACGATTCCAGAACCGGTGCAAAATAATACTTCTTTGTTATCAAATAATAGGTTTGTCTCAATCTCAACTTGTAACTTGAAAAACGTAAAGTTTGTCTATTTAAGTTACAAAAATCATAACCCACTAGGTCCTTTTATTGTTGGTGTCAAGAAAATATTACCAATAGCACCGCCCCAGAGACATTATATCTGGTACTGGGTGCAAATTTCATTATCACCGGGAGTTCTCCCCGTGAACTTTAACCTTTTGGAATTGTTTACTGTTTACACTAAGGAGATGCTGGATGCCGGATGCTGGTTCGTGTTCACTTTACTGAAGGAAGGGTAGGCCTACCTTTTCTTTCATTGCGATTGTGGTAAAGTATGTTGATGATAGCGGTGTCATTGCATGTAGCAGCATATCTGAAAGATTATGGCTAACGACGTTACGTCTTTCAAGTTGAACCCTTTGTTTACGACTCTTTTTTTTTTTATCCCTGTCTCTCTTGATCTACTCTCTATTCTCTATCTAGAATCTAGAAATCTAGAATCTACCTCTACTGCCTCTTCTACCCACCATAATTTACACTTTTTTTTATTGAGGGCTATTTAAGACATAGATATCAAGATCTAGATCTAGATTGTATATATTTATTGTGAATTATGATATCATCATCGTTAGCAAAGTTTATCTTGCTTGTACATTGATAATTATTAATTAGATCTTATATCTATTATGTCACTATTGAATGTTGTTCGGACATTGGACTTTAGGCCAGGGCGAGGCAGGAGGCGCTCCTCACCACACCCCTTTTTTAGCACCGGCATCGTAGGCTATATAGATCTAGATCTAATAATAATACAATTTAAAGTAAAAATTTAAAGTGTCTTTAACTTTAAGTCTTTAGAACAATATGATATGAACTGGCCGTATGATATTACTTTCAAAAACAAGTTGAAACTTTTTGAAATAATAATTGATTCTAGAATAATAATATTGGTGTTCCGACCACTTCTTTACTTTAAAATTTTAGCCTAATTTAAAATAACATCATTGGATGAAAATCTAGACCTGGACTCTTCTTCTTGGGGCTCTTCGTGGTGAGGTTTAGTGTTCCTCTCTCTTTCAATAGGTCAGGCATTTGAATCTGGATAGTGACGGAACCTTCTTTCTCTAAAATGTGATCTCCTTTCTCATCATTTCCTGCTCTCTAACTATGTTCTGTTTTCTGTTTTTGTCTCCACTCGCCCCCTCCCCCTCACCTGGTTCCTTATTTGTCCTCTCTGCTCCGGGCTCCTACTGACTCTTTCTGCAGCCTAGCTACTGCTACTTGACTTGGCTCCTTCGACTGTACTGCTGTCTATCTGCCTCACCCCTGATCTATATTATGGTAGGAGAGATCTACACTTACTCTTCTCGGACGAAGGCGAAAAATCTCGAAGGTCCCACATACAAGTTGCTCACTTTAAAGATCCCTTGGTGGTACAAAATCAATTATAAGAGAGAGTAGTAGGCTTCGGCAGGCACCTGGGCAATATTGAAAAATTCCTACGAACTGAAAATTTTAATATTTTATAATGCGTCGCCTGCGCACTCTGACTTTATGCGTCGTAAAACACTCGCCCGAAAAAATATTTTAAAATAGACCAGTCAAGATGACACGTTTTTGCAATCTGAGCAAGGTCAGAATAATAATTGTCACCTGTTATAAAGTTCTTTTATATAGCATGCTGTCCCTGGGCAGGGTTGAATTGGGTGTGATAAAAAGAAAGAGAGATCGAGGGAGATCATACCCTACTTTGTCTCAATAAGTCAACTTTTAAGAAGACAGAGAAACATTCTCTGAAACTCCAGTTCTCTGAACGCAGTTTATCTGGTGGTATAGCCTCTTGAAATTAGGGATTTTTTTGTTACAGATGCTAACAAGATGATAATCCTGGTTTCCATCATTACCGCATCAGCGGTTTGCTTAATTTTTTATCTGCTGAAGACTGATCCTCCTCCTAAAGCTGGGATCTACAGACAACCAGGTAACATTTTAATCGTTTTTCTTTTTAAGAACGTTTTTAACCACTTGAGCTTAGGAAAAGTGGAAATTATGATTAACATAGAAGCTGGAGAATGCTTGTTTTTACTTTCACAGTGAAAAATGAATCCAAAAAGTTATTGGAATTAAAAAATATAATTGTGTTTTCTTAAAATTACATTCTTGAAATCTTGATATTATCAGCTAGCTATAAAATATTAACCCTAATAGAGGGATAAAACTATATATTATAACAATCACACTATCATGTACGACATACGTGTAAACATTCTGGGCATTGTGAGAAGCAGTTATAATATATAGTGGTCTAGAGAAAGTAAATTTTAAAAGAGTTTTTATCTCCCCCCACCCCCAACCCTGTTATTTTTTTACTTTACCGTTTGTTTAGCTGAGAGCCTTCCAGTTGCTATCACATGAAAATGGGAGGGTAGAATCCTTTATTTAAAAAAATTCAAAATCATTTTTATAAGATCAAATACTTAGGCAAACCTGACCATTGGACTCCACACGCACAGGCAACATAAAAACATATGGAAGAAAGTTTTGATCTTTTGATGTGTTGCATGTCTCAAAAATTCAAATTTTATTGCTTAGGAAAGAGTAACAAAAACTGAAAGGGTTTTCGCAAAGGATGGTTGTTCGCATATTTTGGTATTTAATTTCGCTGGCTCAGCAGAAACTGGGCTTCCTTATATTCTTTTGAAAGGAATGGCTCATTATTTTTTGGTGTATTTGACTTGAGAGTTTTTAGAAAACGGAACTTTTGTCAACAGAACATATGCACTTTGCAGTAATTGCACTGTGAAGCGCTGTAGAGTGGGGAAGTTTAGACTAACTGTTGGCTTTTCCTGGAGAAATTGTGTCTGTTGGATGCACCTAAGTTCAAAGGAAGGTTGGTGGTAAGTTTTCCACTCGTTTCCAACCTCCCATCTAATTTTTGGCTTGTGAATGTGATTGTATGATGAACATAGTCGACACTTATTTTGGAATAGTCTTAATTATGCTCAAATTCAATTTAATTTCAATTAATTCTCTTTGTGCAGGAAGATGGTACTGGCTCAAGCGTTTGACTTTCAAAGTTCTGTTTTTCTTACGGTCTCTAAGAAAAAAATCACACTCTAAGTCATCCTCACCAGAGAAAAGCAATGGTGCACATGATAACGTCAGAGGCTACGGTCATGGGGACAGCCAGGAAGAGATGGAAAAACCCCAGATGCTGTCTCGTCATCAAGATGTAAGCAACTATCCCATTGACTTTCCTGATAAATTTAAGGCACACAGCCAGAGTCACTTTATGGTGTAGTAGACATTTATGGTGAGGTGACATTGTGGAATCAGGTGCTCGTCATTTTTGGGGCATATGGAGTTACTGGTATCGTCTTCAAGGTTATTCTTTTGCCTTGCTTTTGAGGAAAAAAAACATCCGTTTATCTTGATTAGAAGTCGAGATATTTGCGATTGAAGAAAGTGTGGTCGCATAGTTTCAGAAGTAAAATTAGCGAGAAAATGGCTGTCAAAATTTTGTGACTTCCAAAGCTTAAGAGTCCTTGGACACTGCAAATCAACATTTTTTGTGCTCTCAATCATCGTTTGTCCATAAAATCCACACATAAAAGTGTTTTTGAATGGACATACAAGGTGTTGGGCCAAAAAACAAAAATTCTAAAAAAAATGTCCAAACCGACTGAAAAATATCGGTTTCTCGAATTTCAATATTTTGACGAGCGCTTGATTTCACCACGATGCCTCACCTATTCTCATCTGAACTGCAACAGGCACATATGCTGTAAATAATAACAAGCCCAATAATAAAATCCGTTGCGGTAAAAAAAACCCAACCTTATTAATAGAATGCATAACAATGTTTATTATTTATGAGAAAAGGAAGACTTAGAGTTTTTTCACATATTGATGGTGGTTTTTAAATTTGATAAATGTGCATATGTTGAATAAAATTTTACAAGGAAATAAAGTTTGTGCCTATTAGGTCAGTTTCTTGCCTGAGCAGTTTTTGCTTAAATAATGACTGTCATTTAAAACTGGTGGAATCAGTTTATTGAGTGAATTATAAATTTGCTCTACTTAATATTATTTTCTACTAACGTGTTTCCAGGCGATTGACTGTTGCTTCTTTGGTGGAACAGACAAAAATGGATGCAAACTGATTTGTCGACTTGCAAAACGCCACAACCAAAGTGCAGAAATCTGGCTATTTTTGGACATTCCTGGGATTGGCTGCCTTCAGCATCCTTTTCACCCAGATACGAGCGCATTCTTCACTGACGGGAACAGCTTCAGAGCTGGGGGCTTGTTCTTTGAGATGCTGGAACCCATGTGTAGATGGAAGATCTCTTTTAGTGGGAAGCTGAGGTTTGCCCTATCCCATAATAGTAATAATAATAGTAATCATTGTCATAAGCATAATAGTAATAACATAATAATGTTAATTGATGGTGATGATGATGATAATAATAATGATAATATTAATAAGAATAATAATAAAAAGAAGAAGAAGAAGAAGAAGAAGAATGATAATGATGGTAATAATTATTTAAAAAAAAAAAAAAAAAAAAAAAAAAAAAAAAAAAAAAAAAAAAAAAAAAAAAAAAAAAAAATAATAATAATAATAAAGATCACTTCTATAGCACTCAATCCTTGGTTGCTCTCGGTTCTTCACAATAAGAAAAAAGAAAATATTACATTCATGAAAGAATTTGTGAAGTATCCCAGATCAAGTCCTTCTATCTCACCTTCACGTATCCTGTAGACTGGATGTCCGTCAGGGCGCTTTTGAAGATTTTTCCACCAGCTTCCTCCCCTCCTTCCGGTCTTCAGTTTTCCTGAGCATGTCTTTGAATTCCAGGCCTGTCCATTTCTTGATGTTGTCCTCCCTACTCTTCTTCGGTCTGCCTCTGCTCCTTTTTCCCTGGGTGCTGCCCTGCAGGGTTATCTTGGCAAGGCCGGATGAACGGGTGATGTGTCCATACCATTGCAGTTTGTGTTTCCTGATCATAATGAGAAGGTCATGGTATGGTCCGATTTCATTTTTGATTCGTTGTTTGACTTCATCATTTGTGGTGTGATCTTTGTATGAGATACCAAGGATTTTTCAGAAGCATCTCATCTCCACTGCTTTGATCCTTTTTTCAAGGTCTGCATTCAAGGTCCAGGTTTCACATGCATACAAAAATACGGACATGACCAGGGAATGCATCAGTCTGATCTTTGATCTAATGGTGATATTTATGTCCTTCCTGGTAGTTTTCAACTTCATTATTGCTGCTGAAGTTTGCGCTATTCTGGAGATTGTTTCTGATTTTGATCCTTTGTCTGTCACTATTGCACCCAGGTATTTAAAGCTGCGTACGGTCTTAAGCCTCTGTTTGTTGACCTGGAAGTCCACCGTGATGTTCTTGCTGTTGTTAGACATCAGTTTGTTCTTCTCAACACTGATTTCCATCCTGTTTGCTGTGGAGGTCTTTTCAAGATGGTCTATTAAGCTGACTATTTCTTACTCTTGTCGCGCAAGACCATCTGTGTCGTTTGCAGAACGTAAGTTATTAGTCGTTCTGCCCCCAATACTGATTGTTCCTTCGTTATCTTCAAGTGAATCTATCTTGATCCTCTCCAAGAAAATGTTGAAAAGAGTGGGTGAGAGCTGACGACCCTGGCGTACTCCCACTGTTGTTAGGAACCATTCCCCTATGTTGTTGTTGAAAAAGACTGCGCTCGTAGCTTTGCTGTATAACTTTTCTATGACTTTGATCAGGTTGGCATTGTTGTTGTATAAGTTCATGGTTGCCCACAAAGCTTCCTTCCATACTCTGTCAAAAGCTTTTTTGAAGTCCATAAATACATGGTGAAGCTCCTGTTGGTGTTTGAGGTACTTTTCCATGATGATTCTCAGGTTGAATATTTGTTCAGTTGTGCTGCGCACAGTCCTGAAGCCTGCCTGTTCTTCTGCTATGATTTTCTCTGCTTGTGGTGTCAATCTGTTGAGGATGACTTTAAGCACTACTTTACTAGGATGGCTAATCAGGCTAATAGCATGATAATTTTGGCATTGTTCAAGATTACCTTTCTTGGGAAGGGTGATGATCAACGACTGAGTCCATGGTGTTGGCCATTCGCCTGTCTGCCAGATCTTGTTGCAGATGATCCATAGCATGTGTATCACCGAGTCTCCTCGTGCTTGAACTATTTCTGCTGTGATGTTGTCTATTCCAGCTGATTTCCATTTCTTCAATGATGAGACTGCTGCCGCTATCTCTTCTCTTGAGATGCTGCTTTTGTTATTGTCTTGTGATTAAGAGACATTGAGCACTCTTGGATCTCCTGTGGTCTTGTGGGTTTACAGTTCAGAGCCATATTCTGTCCACCAGTTCTGAACTTCTTGTTCCTCCGTTAAATATTTCCCTTCTTTACTTTTTATTGAAGTGGTCCGCCCTTGTTTAGTACTTGTGAGATCTTTGATGATTTGGTAAGCTTTTTTACTGTTGTTTTGATTCAGGCTGTCTTCAATTTCTTCACACTGTTCTTCAATTCACTTCTCTCTAGCTCCTCTCATTCTCTTTTTCGTTTACAGATTCGTCTCTATGTATTCTTTTACACCTTCTGGTTCATTTTCTTGTTTTTCAGAGCTCTCCGTTTGTCACATAGGTCAAGGATATCATCTGTGACCCTGGGCTTCTTTTTCATGCAATGTTTCCCAAGGAGCTCATTTGCTGTTTCTGTCATGGCGGTGTTGAAGGTGTTTGTCAGGGAATCAACTTCTGTATCATCTTGATTTAGCACTAGGAGTGGAGCAAACTTTTCTCCTATGTTTGCTTGAAAACTTTCTAATATGGTTGGGTCTTTGAGTCTTTCAAGGTTGAACTTGATAAGGGTGTTGCCTGGTTTCCTGCACTTTTTAAGACGCAGTGAGAATGTCATCATGACAAGTTTGTGATTACTGCCGATGTCTGCTCCTGGAATACTTCTAGTCTTGGCAATGTTGACACTATGAAAGCGTCGCTTGACCATGATGTAATCTATCTGATGTAATCTATCTGATGTAATTCTCTGCTTGGACTGCACCAAGTCCATCTCCTTGATGCTTTATGTTGACTGAAAGTGTTCATCAGCTTTAGGTTGTTATAGCTGACAAATTCCAGAAGCCGTAGAGCCCTGTCATTGGTGTTGGTATTGCAGTAGGGTCCGCAGATTCCTTCCCAGTCTTTCATTGCCTCTTCCCCGATTTTAGCATTCCTGTCGCCTTGTACCACAATATCCTTCTTTGGTGTTTCGTCCAGTATTTCTTGGAGTTGGATGTAGAATTCCTCCACTTCTTCATTGTCATGTGCTGTTGTTGGTGCATATGCTTGGATGACAGTGATGTTGAATCGTGATGCTTTCAAGCATATGGCCAAGAGTCAGCTGGAAACTAGTCAACAACCCAAGACGGCGTTTGCAGTGTCTTTATGAATGAGTTTTCCAACTCCGTATTCATGGCGGTCTTCTCTGCCACTCTAGTATAGTTTATGCCTTTCTGGGGTTGATGTTTCTCCGAAGTTCTTCCATAGTAATTCACACATTCCCGGGATGTTCCAACGATATCTTTTCATCTTGTGCTTTATTTTCTCAACCTTCCCTGCTTCTCTCAAAGTTCTCACATTCCATGTGCCAATGACTATGTTTCTTCTGGCATGTGTACTTTTTGTTGGTCTTCCATTAGCATAGTTTCCTCTTTCGTCCTGGTGACCGTCAACGTAAGAAGCTGTCCTTGTTCTGGGCGATGACCAAGGGGGTATGGGATTCTTTCTGGCTGTTATCTTCATTGGCGTTTCTTGGGCAATGTCGCATGGCGGAGCCCATCACTTTCCATGCCAGACCGCAGCCAAAATCCTCCCACCCGGTGGCTCGCCTTGGTCTCAAACATGAAGCCGTAAAGTTCATCGGGGAACTTTTTCTGCCCTGGCCATTCACCGCATCTTGTGGTTACGCCCTGTGAATCCGTGTTAACATCGCCCCCTCACACGGTTTGGCACGCCTGCTGAGGTGAGGTCCAGGGGTATGGCACTTGGAGCCACGTGTGAGAGATTTAGGAGTCTGGGGGAGAACCAGTGTGCTTGTCCATCCTTTTATCACCATCACTTTTCAAACATTTTTCTTTTACACATATGCATGCTCAAAAGTACATAATAGATTCATGCTCGTTTGATATTCTTGTAGTTTGTCTCCACTTGTTTGTGACCGGTTGTCTCTTTTTATCAACCCAAGTTAATTACGTTCTTATTCTTATTTAATCTTCAGAAATATTGTTCTTTTCAGACAATTGTCACTTTCTTTTTGACTTCCTGTGATTTGACTTTTGTACTTTTGTTTTTAGAGTTAATGCTAGTGCAGGGCTGCCTAAATCTACTGATTTTTCCGGTAGATACTGATTATGGGCCTGTCCTACCGCCATACCGATAAGGTGTCAAAACTACCAGATTTGCGATGGGTGCCTAAAGAAAAAAAAACAACCCATTCTGCAGTGCTCCCATTCTTCTTTGTTTTTGCGGAAATCCGTACATTCCGAAAGTTCCGTAGGCTACTTGCCGCATCATCATATCACCTCCATGCGTAAAAAAAAAGAAAGAGAGATAGAGAGAGATCAGCACTTGCCTCCGTAACTTGTCAGATGTTTACGGCAACTCTCAGCAATAAGTTGTATTAGAAACTGCCAGATTGCGCATTTCGAACACTCGACCATTTTCTATCTGTGCCATTCGGTTGGCAATAGTTTTTCACTTGCATATCGGCTAAAATCTGTGTACTCACGATAGATAATCTTCCTCCTTCCTTTCATTCATTCTTTCTTTCGGTCTATCTTCGGGTTTTTGCTTCGGATGGAAAATCTGTGCATTTAATTCATTTATCTGGAAAACAGAATTATGAATGTAAAAAGACAATTGATATTGAAGTAAAACATTCTAAAATAGATCTTGGTCTAGAGAATTGGTCAGTACTTCTCTGATCCAGCGGCCATTTGGGTTCTAGCCCTTCGGTCTGCAGGTCAGTACCAAATGAGAATTCTACGCAGGGGGACTGCGGGAATCTGAAAAAAAAAATTGCTGAGACCCGAGAAAATGCACAAAGTCCTCGAAGCCATATCTCAGTTCATATGTTATCGGTCTCGTTTGTGATGTTACGTTCGGCTTTTCCCAGCCCGAGAGTACGTTTCACGCAAATTAGCGGCTATGGCGGCAAGCCATAGGTGTTGGTGTAATACAGAGACTATCGGGAAAATCAAAATCAACTTTCGCTTTCGTTACCGCCCAGAATTTTCCGATGATAGTTTATTAATGTTAGATTTACAGTTAATAAAAAATTTGTAACATGCAGTTTGTGCATAAAAAACACAGTGTCGCCATACAAATTAAATTGAAATTCACACTGATGTCACTATAATGACCCCAAAAAAAGGAAGAAAAAGAAAACAAGTGTCCTTCAATTTTTGGATTGTCGGGCCCGTCATCGAGCCCGGTCAGTGAACCTGTGCGCGTTGGCATCGTGTGAGCAGTACGGCATGAATAAGGGACCGGTCGGTGGTTGTTGGGGTAATCAAAGTTTATTCAAAGTACATGTAGGAGCGTTGCTGCTGGGCTTCAAAATTGAGAGGAGGTGTTAGACCCAATAAAATCAACGCAACAGGATAAGGCCGCGGTACAAGAAACTGATGCTGAAATGAAAGCGATAAGTGGAAGTGGTTTTGACATTCGACAATTGACTGCGTAAATGAGGGAACATTAGAGCACAGGCTTGATGATTGTATCTTCAAGGTTGTTGTTCCCGGATTTTTCGGATTTGTCAGTGATGACAAATTGAATAGTGACAATGAGGAAATGCCATTTTCAGCCCTCGGAAAGCTCTATGTTGGCCTATGCTTCATGGTGGCTTGTTACTGATACTGGTACTGTGATTTAGCATTTTGAAAAAAAAATCAATACTTACTCCATTATGCAGTGCAGTCCTTCCAGCTCCGGCTCTCAGTACACCCTCTCTTTTATTTTCACTTTTTACTCTGCCGTAAGCCTAATTATAAAGGTTTTATAAATGAGTTTTGTCTTGCATGCTTTTTAAAATATGTGATTACTGAAACCAAACATGGTTTTGGCTGTTGATGTTCTTTTTGCCTCTCCTCAGGCCCAGACCAGGATACATTTTGTAGTTTTAGGGTAAAACTAGTTAAAATTAATTGTCTGTCATACCTAAGTCTCAAAGGACTTATCAGTGTCCTATGCTAGTGATGGGAAGCATGTTTAATATAGTTTCTATTGGTATGGGCTAGGGGTTTTGAAGTCAGTTTGGCAGTCACCATGCACTCAATTCCTGATTCAAAACTGAATGATAGATGCCTTGAACGATAGTCCATAAATGCTTTTAAAAGAAAACCTCGCCTCATTGCCTACACATTGTTCATCGTAACTTGTGCACACCCAAACACCTCCTTCCCCTCCCCCCCCCCCCTCACACACACACACGCACACACTCACACATGTGTATGCACAAACAAGTTTTCCAAATATAATTACCCAATATCACGTAAAGCAAGCGCATTCGATGGGGCAATGATCATATTTTTTTTCCTTCTTTGTCTTTGTACTACCTGATTTTGGGCTTAACAACCTGAAACTAACCCTGAATCTACCTGAAAAGGGAACTTTGAAGTAAGCAGCCCTGCTAGTGGGTGGTTGGCAGGTGCTCTGGTGTGGTTTGCTCCTTCTTTCCTATCAGACATATGTAATCTTTACCCCCCCCCCCCTTCTTTTTGTGTTCGTTACTCCTTTGTAGCACCTCTTATCCTCGGCACTTTTGTGACCTTATTGTGTTGCAAGTGCTGTAAAACTCTTTCGAAAAAAAAAGAGTTAATGCTATCTTAATCTTTTCTGTCAGTGCTTTTTCACAGACTTTCCATAAATTGTTAAAACTCAATATCTACTTCTTGGCTCCTCTTGCTTCTTCAGTTCGCCCCTGACCTTATGGCATTGATTGTAACATTGAGAATAAATGCTTCTGTGTGAGCATAAATTACATGAGGTGGAATGTCATTCATTTTTCCCAAACTCTGACTAGTTAAGTGGGCTCTTTTACTTTGGCTTATATGTCTTTCCTATTGAATGGTTCTCTACTGAAAAATTAACTTTAGAAAATTAAATGATCATTTATTTTGACTTTTGTTTTTCTGTTTCAGGAAAGGGCTTTGCAATGATATACACCAGAAGCCTGCTGAATATGTTCAAACAACATTCTCATTCATGTAAGTCGATAGGAAAAGAATTTGGAAAAGCATGAATCAGTCATTTCACAATATATTAAACTTAATTTTCTGTATTGTGGATTCAGCTTTTAGTATGAATTTCAGATTTGTCAAGGCTTGCATTGACACTTTTGTAACTTCAGCGATAAGTGTAGACAATAGACGTTCAGAACTTGTTTCCAAATGACACTTTTTATTATAATTATAATTATAATAATTATTATTATTATTACTATTATTATTATTATTATTACTATTATTATTATTATTATTAACAACCCTTAAAGCCCGAGAAACCCTCTGGCCGGTCCAGAACTTTATCGATGCGCAGCCCGAAAAACCCTTTCACTGGTCTGTGAGTCACGAATCCCAGTGAGCCTGAGTCAAGCCCTTCTAGACCTAAACGTGTGTGCAAATAACTACTCACTCACTCTAGATGTGAGATAGGCAATTCTGATTAGTTTCTATGTGGATATTTTGTTATTGAGTGTGACGTATTTGTTGTCTGGACTATTTGTTGTCATATACGGGTCATTTCCTTAAAATGGCCGACAAGGCCAGGCAGTGGGTATTCTAGGGTCAGCAGAGTCAGGGCTCAAAGGGTTAATAATAATTAGTACAAGAAGCAGTAGAAGAATAATTATATATGTATATATTTATGTAATATATATATTGCCTTTTAAGAATTTGACTTAAGGACAGAACTGAAGTGACATGTACACAGTTTTGAATTGCTTTTGAGGACTCTATAAGTGCTACCAGAGTCGGTGTTTGTCTCTGATGCTCCATTGGTCACTTTGATCCCTGGGTGCCTCAGATAGCTATGTGGTGGTCCTGTGATAGCTATGATACTGCATCTAGTCTTCTTGGGTAGGACAAGTTCTTGGATTTGAGATCCTGTGTGCCCCTTTTATGAATTCTCAAGACATGTTAATTGAGTGTTACATTCTTAAATAAAATCTCACTTAAACTGATGAACTTTTTCCTAACACGGTTGGTTTTGAGTACACAGAGGCATTAGAAGGAAGGATTCTACATTATTGAAAGAAAATGTTGTTGTCTTTATTCAAAGAAATCATTGGGAGTGCACTTTGAAAAAGCTTATTATGAGCAAGACTGGCGATTTAGATGTGGGATAGAGGAAAATGAAAGATTTAACCTCAACTACGGGGTAAATTTCCTAAAATAATCAGCTGCATCAGTTTATTCATGAAAAGTCCATTTATGAAACAAATCAGTTATGTTTTCACCATTCAAATTGTTACATTGTATTTATGATAAAACTTGAACCCTTAGGAGGTTGAAGAGGAACAGAGCAATGTAGAGTCCTCATTTTTTCAATTTCAGATGGAGTGCCTTTTCTGAACCGTTTAACACAGACACAGACATGAGTGTGTCAGCTCTTGGTGACAGCTTGGCCAGGGAAAAATGGAGCAGAGATTTTTTTCACCGACTGAAGCTGTAAGAAACAATAGCATATACGCAATTTTTTGTACGGTACTGTTGAAATTGTCCAAGAATTTTGTTTGTTATTGAGCTTTGTTTGGACCGAATCTTTTTCTTTTTGAATTGAATTGTGTCGTTTTTTTTCAGCAACTCATGGTAAAATACAACTCCACTGAAAGTCAGAAGTTGCATCACATGATGTCTAGATAGTGTGATTTCCTTCCTTTTAAAAAAAAAAAAGAACTGCACTGTGGAATAGAATAAAAGCAAAATGATAAGCTTTCTGATAGTTAGTTGTCTGTCTTCTTCTTCTCCTCCTCCTTCTCCTCTTCCTTCTTTTCCTTCTTCTCCTTCTTCTTCTTCTTCTTCTCCTTCTCCTTCTCCTCCTCCTCCGCCTCCTCCTCCACCTCCTCCACCTTCTCCTCCTCCTCCTCCTCCTCCTCCTCCTCCTCCTCCTCCTCCTCCTCCTCCTCCTCCTCCTTCTCCTTCTCCTCCTCCTCCTCCTCCTCCTCCTACTCCTCCTCCTCTTTCTTCTTCTTCTCCTTCTCCTTCTCCTTCTCCTTCTTCTTCTTCTTCTTCTTCTTCTTCTTCTTCTTCTTCTTTTTCTTTTCCTCCTCTTCTTCCTTTTTCTGTCTTCTTTTTCGATGACAGTTACACATTCCATTCAGTGGTCCACACTAACTGTTCAGTTTGCTTTAGATCTTCAAGGCTGCCATGTAATTTTTCTCTCTAGTGGTATAACGTGTTATTGCCATGTCTGTGACAAAAGACTGTTATTTTCATTCTTGCAGCCATCACCAGACTCACTATGACCAGTGGGGGGAGCTCAGAGGTTGTATTGCTGTGGAGGGTTATGAGGAGAAGCAGCTCTACTTGCAGTGCATCAGGGATCACAGCTATGGTGAGGGAATGAGTGTCTTTGTGTGTCTTTTAGTTTTAGTGAGAGAATACATGCATTTGTGAGGCCTTGCGATGAAATCAGGTGCTCGTCAACGTAATGAAATTGAAGATACCTGCATTTTTCTACCTGTTCTGCAATTTTTGAGGATTTTTAATTTTTTTTTGGCCCAACACCTTTTATATCCTTTTATAAACACATTCTTTTGTGGATTTTTTTTTTTACTGAAACATGTTGATTAAGGGCACCAAAAAAGTAAATTTACAGTTTCCGAGGACTCTCAACCTTTATAAGTCACCAAACTTTGGCGACCATTTTCTCGCTAATTTTACCTCTGAGATGACCCTCACCTCATTCAGTCATAAATATCTCAACTTGTATTCAAGATTAGTACGTATTTTTTAAAAATTGAAAGCAAGATAAAACCAATAACTCCATATGCCCCAAAATTGTCAAGCACCTGATTCTACGCGTTGTGACACATTTGTGGTCCAGGCCGAAGGGCTCGAACTCATATGGCTGCTGGGTCGGACAGTGAAAGTAAAGTGTTCCAAAGCTACTTGGACACCTGTCTATGCTTACAGCATGTCTGTTTCCTGATGGTTAATCTCTTTACAGTTGCATGCAAAAGTCTCGAATTCGATTTCTTTTTGGAAAAATTTATTTTATTGAGTTTTTCTGTCTTTCTTCTAGTATGATGTATCCCATCCAGCCCAGGAGTTGTCCTGTTAAACAAAGTCAAATCAGCTTTTTGCTGAATAATGTAAACCGTGTTGGTGAGGGTGTCAAATATTTACAATCTTTACAAACATTTTGTTTTGTGATGATGAATAAATGAAGATCCTTGCAATGTGTGATCCCTTGAGTCCCAGAATGTCTGCCCATTTTCTTAAAATGTTTATGTATAGAAGAGCAAATAAAAAGCAATTTGTATCCCTCATTATTGCTGTGTCTTCCCTCACCTGTAAACGGCAATAAAAGTTCAAAAGTGTGTCTTTATGTTGGTTCATGAATGAAGCAAAGCAAACCTTGTGAAAGTATTTGTTTCCTACCTTTATTGTTTAACAAGAATATTAATTTTGTCTTTCCATCAGGCACAAGAGACTGGAGAAACTTTCATCGCTACATTCTGCACTACATATACCTGGAGGTTGGTTGTGCTAGGCACAAGAAAAAGCAAATAAAGAATTCAAGAATTCAGTAATCTGCAAGTGTTCCAACAATCCCACTGTATTTGATTGCTTTTCATATTCTGCAATTGAAAGGGGCAGAAAATAAAGGGTCTGACTGAGTAACATTTTGCTAAGAAAGAGTTCTTATTATGACTACACACTTTTCTTTCTTTTTAAAAAATTCAAAATGATCTTAATTGTGACTGAGACTCTAAATTTTTCTGATCCCTTTAATTTTTATGATAGCTCAGCCACAGTTATTGAAACTTTAGATATCGTGTCTGTCAAAACTATTGCTCATAATTTGCTTTGACATTGTAAAAGTTTGGCACATGGTTAGATTCTTAATAAACATTAATTTAAAGTTGATTGTAGTGCTCCAGTAAATGTATTGTTTGCAAGGTGAAGAGAGTCACCATTGCACTAGTGATGTTGGCCGTCATGAGGTGAAATGACAGAAATGTGTTCCCAACAAAAACAGAAACTGTTTGTACAACAACCTGTTTGAGAGAATAGAGAAATCTTGACGAATACATGTAATATAACTGTAAAGACTGCAATATTGAATTTGTAGAAAATGCTCAGTTTATTGTCATCTTCTTTTTTTTTCAGACTGGCATGACTATCCATGTGGGTGTATTTTGTCAGCCAAGCTTAATGTCTCAGTAAGTTGATTGGGATGTTCTTTATATTGTTAGCAGTTAATGTTTATTGTCTGAATTTCTACTTTCCAGATCACGTGAAAAGCAGATGTATGCTCACAAAACTCTAAATGAATTCTTGAGGGAGTAAAAAAAAAATTAGAGTGAACAGACCTGAATTCTGAGAAGATCTGATTTCTCACTTGTATGAATATGTTCCTGAAAGCTATTATCTTGATGAGGCAATCAAACTGTGTCAACTTATTTTTACCCCTCCCAGGGCAATGCTACTGACTGAAGTGTCTTTAGGCCATTCCCAAAGGGGGGATATTAACATGTTCTATGCTCAGTAGAATTGTAAATGGGGTGAATTATCAATGTCATTCTCATACTGTGCTGAAACGACATAGGGGGAACAGCTGTTTTTTCTTTCCTCATCCTTACTATCGTCATTTTTCATTTTCTTTTTTTGTATGTTTGTCACTCTATTGTGAACTGCTATTTCCGGGTGCCTTGATAGTCGAAGCAAACTTTGTGCTGTTGGGACTGGAGAGGTTAGCAGAGTAAGCCTGATTCCCTGTTTGGACTTCTCTGTTGACATCCACCCCTTTGCGCTCATATGACCTTATGCAGTTGCGAGCGCCGTAAAACCTTTCAAAACGACTTTTGTTCATGAGACATAATGTGTTTCAAAGAAATGCTTTATACTAGTACCTGCTCCCCTGATTTGTTCTTTTTTTTGTTGCTGTTGTTTTTTTTGTAATGTGAGTGTTTTATGCCCTTGCCAACACAATTCAGATGATTTAGGAGATAGGTTTCAATCTTGCTTTTAGGGGCAACCTTGGCTGAGAGGGATACATCATCCCAGAAGGAAGATAGATATTCTATAAAAATTTTCCCACATGGAAATCAAACTCTTTTGTGTTTCTCGTGGGATAGGGAGGCTACTATTAGCTACACCAGAGACACTGGAGATTTTGGTTTGACCCAATAGCTTGTACAAAATAATTATGAAAACTTTACTGACTGTATAAATGCACGAAGTCACTTACAGAGTGCATGACAATCTACTGTAAATGGCAATAGAATCAAAGAAATTGATCTGATGTATGTTTGTTATCTGATATGAACTTATACTAATGTTTGTTAACAATTGATGAACATGTAACTTCGGTGACCTTGTGGTTAGGCTCTCAGACTCGCAACCTGAGTTCGAATCCCATTTGGGGCCTGATGTTATGTTCTTGGGAAAGGCTTTTGCACAAAGTGTCCTCACTTCACTCAGGTGGGAATAGGTACCCAACTATAGAAAGTGAAAGATCTTGTCAGTTTGCTTGTGTCTGAGCACTTCGTCAGCTGCTTGCACTGTATGCTTCCCAGGAAGCTGAGAATGTTTCTGAGTGTTCCATGGTCTGCTGGTGTAATAATGATATAGTGTAAAGCGTATAGAGCTTATTGTAGAGCGAGGATATGGGCTATACAAATGTTATCTATTATTATTCATTACTATCTCTCAGTGTGAAGATTGGCCATGTTAATTACGCTAACGGAGACCAGGTTCCTGTGTCGGACATTGACCTCAAACTGTGGGAGGTCGGTGAAGCTGACCAGACTCCTCCTTCTACATGGAAGTTTTCATTCACGGCAGGTATAGTATGGCCATTGTCCTGTATTGTATTTGTACGGTTCGTGTGACTGTCCTGTTGTGTACTTGTATGGTACAGAATTCCTCCCCCCCCCCCTTCCCCCCAAAAAGTAAGTAAGCATCACAACAAAGAGATTTGTGTCTTGACGTAGTGGAATCAGGCGCTCGTCAATTTTTGGGTTTGTGGAGTTTTTGGTATCGTCCTAAAGCATGTCTATTTGTATATGTTTCTATGAAAAAGCTACTCATTTATCTTGAATAGAACTTGAGATATTTGGGATTGAAGGAGATTGGGTCGCTTGGTTTCAGAAGTAAAATTAGGGAGCAAATGGCCACCAATGCTTGATGATTTCCGAAGCTTGAGAGTCCTTTGAAACTGTAAATGTACATATTTCGTGCCTTTAATCTACGATTATCAGTAACTTCCACGCAGAAATGTGTTTTAAATGTACCTATTAAAGACGTGTTAAGCCAAAAAAAGGAAATACTCAAAAAATTGCCCAACGTACAGAAAAATACTGGTTTCTTTGATGTCATTGTTTTGACGAGACGAGCGCCTGATTTCTCCTCGCTGTCTCACATTTTATTTGTCTCACTAGGCAAATGTAAAAAAAATAAAATGAATTTTTTAATGTATTAAGAAATAAAAAAGCAAAAAGAAGCAAAAAAAAAATTAAGCATAGACATGTCTAGGTTACCCATTCCTTACCTGTTCAATTAGCAATGGGCTGCGGTATAAAAAAGAGATGAACATGCACCCAAAGTCAAATGATGTGCTTGAAACAATAAGGGTAAATGATGTTTCTTGGATCAAAGGGGAGTAAATATGTGCCTACCATAAGTCAGAATCACTCAAAAGTGTAGTCATTGAGTGAGAACGAGTTTTTAAATTCATCAACAATAGTACTTGTCTTTTTATAGCCAGCAATTAAAAAGCCAGGTTAAAATTTTAGTACCGGCCTCCCTATTGTACTGTTTCTGCCACCAAGTCACAATCATTTCTCTGTACCCCCAGACGGACTGATATATCGAGTAGAAGCCGAAGGTGGCATAATGCCTGTGTGGTACCATCACGAGGATCGTGGGGGCAAGGTCATGGAAGTGTTCACCAAGTTCAAGGTCAATTCACATGAAGGCAGAGGTCACAGTGAATTCTTTTACAGGTAACTAATGTGTAGATTTATTATTGTCTGTTTGGGATCATTTGTTTTTCTTTGCAACAAAATGCAGTTGAAATTGTCCAAGATGGTCAGCCATTGTGAAAAGAAGAGAAAAGTGGTTGTCTTCGGCAAGGGGACATTTTGGACAGTGTCAACATGTGTCAGGGCGCGGTGGAATCAGGTGCTCGTCAATTTTGGGACATGAGTTATTGGTATCATATTTTGTCCATTTGCCTTGCTGTTGATGGCAAAAATATCCGTATATCTTGGATACAAGTTACGTTATTGACGATTGAAGGAGATGGGGGGGAGTCGCCTGGCTTCAAAGGTAAAATTAGCGAAAAAATGGCCGTCAAAATGTGTTATTTCCTTAGCTTGAGAGTCTGTGGAAACTGAAAATTTACATCTTCTATGCCTTCAATCAACGTTTTTCAATAACATCCACTCTTAAATGTGTTCTTTAATAGGCATGAAAGGTGTTGAGCCAAAAACCAAAAATTTGATAAAAATTCCCAAACCTGCGGGAAAATGCCATTATTTTGATTATTTTGACGTGCGCCTGTGAAATCAGATGCTCGTCAAAATAATGAAATCAAAGAAACTGGCATTTTACTGGCCATTGGGCAATTTTTTTTCTAGTTTTCTTTGTTGGCTCAATATCTTTTATGTCCTTTTAAAAACACATTTCCGTGTTGATTTTACTGAAAAACACTGATTAAAGGCACAAAAACTGTAAATTTTCAGTTTCCAAGGACTCTCAGCTATGGAAGTTACCAAACTTTGGCGGCCATTTTCTGTTAATTTTACCTCTGAAACCAGGCGACCCTGACCTCCTTCAATGGCAAAAATCTCGACTTTTATTCAACATGTATTGATATGCGTTGTGCCGCATATAGAAGAAACTCAAGAAGAATGTGGTCATTTGTACTAATGATTGTCTTCGACAGATGTCGTTTCCCCCCCCCACCCCCCCCTATGCATTTTTTTCGTTACTATAATGACACATTATTTCTAAGTGCTGTGTAGAATAGTCCTTCTCCTTTGTGAATATGTCCTTTCGGCTTGTCGATGATGTCCCGCTGGAAATCTGAGAGCTTACTTTTTGAAATGCTGTAAATGTCCTCAGTTTCAAGAAGGATGTTAACTTCAACAAAAAAATAGCATTGAAAATGAAACACTTTAAACTCTTCTTTTGTATCTGAACGTTTTACTTGTCTCAGAAATGTGGGTAAGGTGTTATCTCCCAAGCAAAAAAAATTCGAAATAAATCACTGAACTTTGATGTGAGTAACATTTTACTTGTCTTAGAAACATGGATGGGATGTTTATCTCCCCCCCCCCACAAAAAAAAAAGAAAGATTAGAAAATAAAAACTAAACTCTACTCACGCGAGTCTCTAAACATTTTGCCTTTCTCAGAAACATTTATAGGGTGTGTTTCTTTAAAATAAAGGATTAGAAATGAAACACAAAACTCTACTTATGTAAATCTCTGAACATCTGACATTTCTCAGAAACATGGAGGGCCCACCTGTTGTCTTGCCGGCAACGTGCCCGCTGGTGTCTGAGCCATCTGAGATTGTCACTGAAGTAAACAAGAAGGAGTTGATCTTGCCGTTTGCCTCTGAAGCATGCGGCTCGCCAGCTTTAGTGGGTGGCAAAGGTGCTCAGTTGGCGTTACTCACCAGACTCCAGGAAGAGGTGAGGTCAAATGTAATTTTACCATTAATTAATAGATCGTCAGTCAATGTCTGACAATGAGCATTGCATCTACAGGGGAAAATTTTGTTTTAATATACCTGTAAATAGAAGAAATAGAGATAAGATGATTTGTGGCTTCCACTTTGGCCAATAAGACCAATTCTGGCTGGGTTTGCCATATTTGGAGAATTAAAAAGTTTCATTTCCTCTTGTGGATTTGCGCAGCTTGTATACTTCTCTCTATTTCTAATTCACGAAGTCTCATGAGATCAAGTGTAGACAGTGGAGTTTAGATCTTTTTTTAAAACTCTCTTTGTAGGACTTTGCTGCTCTGCACAAAGGTGTAAAAGAATGTCAACCATGTTTGAGTACATACAGGTCTTTTTATTTTGAGTAAAATTTCATTGACCTACGTGTGAAAATTCTATTTACGTGACTTCAGAGGACATGTTCAATTTTATTTTTGGTGTCACCCCTTGTAGAAGAAAAGAGTGGTTGTCATACAGGTGGACGTCTTGTCAATATGATATAAAAAATGCAAGGGTTGAAGTGGGAAGTGGTTGTTTTGTACAGGATTCTGTCTTGAACAAGTGGCCGTTGGAGCATCATTGTGTATTTGTAAAGTTTGAGTTTGTGCTCGTATAAGGATGCATAATATTTTAAGAGCGTAGGAATGTTGGCGAGTGTGTGTTCATTAACAATAAGGATTGTTTCTGATCAGGTCAATGCTGAGGTCCCAGCTGGTATCTGTGTCACATTACACGCCTTTGAGACTCAACTCAAGGTAGGTCAACTGGTGTGTATGTGTGCTACAATGTGCATATGTGTTGTTGACTGCTTTAATGAAATCCTTGTTCTCAGAAATGAATGTAGAACCAAGCCACATACTTGAGTGAAGTTTTGTCTTAACTTTGTCACTTTGTAAATAGAGACAAGCTTTCAATTAATTCATAGTTTCTTGCAGAATGGGCTAAAGTACGGGAAAAAATATCTAAATTAATTTTTCTTCAGAAATGTCTCATGCATGAATTCAAACCTCGATAGTCTGTTAATAAGTATTGTACCCACTGGACCATTGGCATACTCATTAACTCACAAGGGTCTTAGGACAAGACATCCCATCTTACAAAATAGCCACAGGTCACTACTCAAGAATCAGAAAGTTTCATCTGCTTAGTACATAGTTTTGAGAAATTTGACGTAAAAAATTTTGAGTTTCACAGCACATCAGGCTTTTCCAAATACGATTCGTTGAATATCTGGATAACGAATTCGAATAACTTACGATTTGATAGAGCTGATTGAATATTTGGTTTCTGACCTTATGGTCTTAGTAACTCAAAATGGCCAGAAATGTCAGATAGACCTTTGTAATTCTAAGGTAGCAAGGTGTTTTGGTTAGGTTCTCTGACTCTGAATTTTTAATAACTAAATGAAGCGGCATTGCCTGTTTACATTCAATCCACTCTGGATGTGTATCAACATTCACAGATCTGTCGGCCGATACATTTCAAACCCTGTCAAAGTAAGGGGAAATGAGAGTAAGGTTTAGAATACTGACTCTCTTCATACGCAGAAATGGAATACAAGACATTGCACTGTGAGCTGCTTTTTGTTTTGTCATTGTTTTCATTTTGTTTTTATTGTATTTCGGTATTGTTTTTTTTCTCTGAATTTTCCTCCTTATGTGTAAACATTTGATTGTGTAAATTTGTCTTATATTTCTTGAAGAAGAGGTATGCATAATGTCCTGTCCAAGAATGTGCTCTGAAAGAGTCTTCATTTTTCCAAAATTCAAATAAATGCACAAGAAAATGGTTTTTGAAAGTCGAAGAGTAGCTTTTGTAGCAACAGTTATATTGCTTTTTTTGTTGCTTCTTCTTACAAAGTAAGAGGTGAGAGTGGCTACAGGGCTGTAGACACTACACACGCGGATAGCTAGAGAATGACAACTAAATGCCATTGGCTAATATTTACAGTAACAGTCATCTTGTTTGTCGTTATCATAGATTCTCACGATATTTTTATGTCATTGAGGAATTCCCACTTTGTCAGTCATTGTGGCAACACGACCGCACGTGATATCATCACTATATTTAGGATCACGATCAGATGACGCAGTGGGCATCCCCCTTGCGAGGTCAAACAAGATGTCTGTTACTATAAATATCGGCCTATGATGTTTAGTTGTCGTTCTCTAGCTATCGGCTTGTATGAAAGATCTCGTCAGTTTATTTTTGAGCACTTTATTGGCTGCATGGAAGAAACGTTTCTTAAGAAGCTGAGAATGTGTTTGAGTGTTCAAGGGTCTGCTGAGGGAACAATGTAGATTGTAAAGTGCATAGAACTTGCGGTTGAGTAGAGATATGCACTATACAAATGCTATTTATTATTATTATCAAAAGTACGATCATTAAAATGCTTCAGCTCTCCTTTTTCATCATTTACTAAAGTGAACAAGTTTCTTCCTGTACTTCATCAGGAGAACCCAGCTTTAGTCGACTCCATAGATGCCATTGCCAGAGCTGCTGTGTAAGTAAATATTGTTACAACTTCATGAATAGTCAAAAAATTGTTTTAATTCAAAACAATATTGACGTATCCCACTCACAGACACACACACTTACTGGCATTTTTTTTTTTTTTAGCAACGCCTTATAACGCCTTATATTGTCATTTAAAAACACATTTCTGGATGGATTTTTTCTTATAAATGTAGATTAAAGGCACAAAAGACAGTACTTTTTAATTTCCCAGGATACTCATGCTTTAGAAATCACCAACTTTGGTGGCCATTATATATATATATTGCTTAGTTTACTTCTGACACCAGGTGAAGGAACAGGCCCTTAAGATTTACCAATAACTCAATGTGCCCTAAAGTTGATGAGCACCCCATTCCACCACGCCTTGACATATATTAATACTGCTCAAGACGTCCACCTGTGTAAGACAACCAGTCTTTTCCTCAGTACTGGGTGACTGTCTTTGATAATTTCAACTCTATTTTCCCCTTAAATGTACTGTGTATTCTTTCAGTGAGGATTTGCCTAGTCTGCCATCTGTGTGCTCTGATGCTGTGGAGCTCCTGGTGCTGACTCCTGTATGTCCCGAGGTGACTGATGCTGTTCTTGGCTCACTGCAAGGATTGACTGATGGTCAGCTGGAAACAACCCGCTTTGCAGTACGATCATCAGCAGCTGGTGAGATGGGGGTGGTTGGTGGGTGCACTGGTGTTGTCTGCTTCTTCCTCTTTTTTGTATTAGTGTTATTCTAATCGATTCTTATTCTGCTGTAAGCTGGCAAAATGCCTCTTTTCATTTTTGATGCCAAATTTCTTTTATTTGCTAAATTGAAAGCCTGATCAGTTACCCTACTTGTGTGAAAAAATCAATGTGAAACTGACTAGTTTTTGAATAAATTAAAACTCAAAGTTTGGAAGAGCGCTATTTTTAAATGGTTACGCTGACAAAAAATCTTTTTATCTCTAAACTGTTGTGAATTTTTATAAAAGACATTTTGTCAGCCTACGACAGTTTTGAAAAATCACCATTTTTTTTTACTGATTTACTGTACTCTGCTACTCAAACACCACATCTCTGGTAAGACAGTTCTGTCTGTGTGCTTTATAAAGCCTGACAAGATAAGCTACATCTGAGAAAGCATGACGGTCACTGCCAGCCTTTTTTGAGGTTAGGTTGATGTCTATTTTGTTGCTCACCACAAATCTGCGATAGTTTGTAATTCTTAAAAACTAAAACATATTCCTTTGTATTCCTAGTTATTCCAATGCTACATTTGGTTTTGCAAATGATCAAAGAAGCTTATTCTACCATTTTAAAACTTGAAAATAGAGTTTTTCAAGCCAGAAAATGTTCCAATTGGTTTGGCGTTGATACAATTCCAAGTAAAACTCTTAATTTTCTCACATGCTGATTGTCATATCCATTCTTTTGAAGTAAAAGCCTATACTTGTACTTATTTTTCCCTTTGTAGAAATGAGTTTGCGCTCTGAAAAACTTTAGAAAGCAGAAACTGGAACTACAACAGTTTTTTTTCACAATGTTGAAGACCTTGTTGTTTCAGAAAATACCCCAAAAGTTTGAAAATGATACATCATAAGATAAAGATACATAGGAGAAGTGTTTGGTTTTATGGTGTCAATGTGAATGTTGTAGATTCCTTAACTTTGGATATGTTCTTCCGTGTCACGCACAGGTGAAGATGGTGTCGAGGCTTCCTCTGCTGGTCAGATGGAGACACGACTTGGCGTGGCTGGATCCGTCCAGGTAGGGCCGAGGTTTTTGTTTTCAACTGTGTCCTGGTGTTATGGAGATAATATTATGGTCCATCTAGATCACTAATATCAGGCGATCAGTATCTTTTAAGAGTTCCTAGAAAAGGGGGTAAAAAATTAGTTGAAAGATCGTTCGCCCACCTTGCTCCGTCAGTCTGGAACTCTCTTCCCCAACCCTTGAGACATACAACATCTGAGTCTAAATTTTAAAAATCTTTAAAGACACCTTTAATGACATCCTTTTTATGTCAGTAGATTCATGTTCAATACAATGTTATGTAAATAATTATGTATCTATTTATGTATTTTGTGAATTGCATTGTGTATATTATTTTATGCTCATTTCGTGACGATGTGTAAGCGTGCGCATGTGATAAGCAAGTAGATGTGTGTGTGTGTGTGTGTGTGTGTGTGTGTGTGTGTGTGTGTGTGTGTGTTTGGCGTACATGTGTGTGCACATGTGTGCGAGTTATGTGTTTGTGAGTGTTTATGTGTGTGTTTGTGTGTGTGTATGTGTGTGTGTTTGTGTGTATGAGTGTGTGTATTTTTGTGTTTGTGCCGCGTGCGTGAATATTGTTCGTACATGCATTTATGTAAAGCGCCTAGAGCTGTGTTTACACGGGAGTGTGCGCTATAGAAATGATTTTCATTATTATTATTATTATTATTATTATTATGGTTCTAAGGGGTTGTACTGCACTGGGTCTTAATAATAATAAAGAAATAGTATTTGTATGGCACATATCCTAGAAGACTTTATGCTGGCACTTATATGGCCTAATTGTGTTGCAAGTGCTGTAACAATTTTACTAAAACTGAACAAAAGACTTCATTCTCCTCACTAAACTGTGAACTGTACTGATTTGATTGTTTCCCTTGTGTAGGTCCTGGAGGCGTTGCGAGCGTGTTGGGCCTCAGTCTACTCAACCCAGGCTGTGGAGTATCGTAGGCAGCACGGTCAGTCAGTCAACGTGTTGGTGGGTGTGGTCATACAGAGGATGGTTCCTGCTCAGTCTGCTGGTAAAGACTTGCTTGCTTAAAACATTTCTCAACTGGAAATAATTTTGAAGATACAGTGGGGTCCAATTAACTTCTTACCTCTGGTAAACTGCTCTCAGCTGCGGGAGTTCATTTATTAGATGAAGAACTATAAAAAAAAGTTTCATTTGTTTTCATTTAGTTTTGTTTTAGTAAGGTTGAACGGCGCTCGGAACTGCATAAGGTCATATGAGTGCCAGTGGTTTGATTTAATTACCTATTTAACGACCGTAGACAGCACGGCCTGCCAATCATTGTGTTGGTGAATGTGGTCATACAGAAGATGGTTCGTGCACAGTTGGCTGGTAAATATTTGCTTTTTAAAAAAAACAACTTATAAAATGGAAATAATTTTGAAGATCCAGTGGGGTCCAAATAACTCCTTACTTCTTGTAAACTGCTCCCAGCTGCAGTAGTTCATTCATTAGATGAAGAACTACCAAAAAAAGGTTCATTTGTTTTGATTTGACCAATTTAGTGATGTATATGTCACTATTAGGTTCCATACCAAAACAGGGCCCTGGCATGGTGGGTTTACCTCCCTTGAAGATAACGAGTTAAAATAAAATCTGCAGGGCTGCTAGATTTTCTTTGGCTTGGCTGTGTTTTCATTATAAGGAGAATGCTCAAATAGGGAAGCAAAAAGTCAAGGATTCTGTTATATTTTGGTTTTCTGCTGTTTGCGGATTAATCATGTTTGGTTTTAGAAACATTGGTTAGTTTTGTTCAACAGGAATTTCCAAAATTATTTTACATTTTGCCCTACAATCATCATCATCATCACCATCATCATCATCATCATCATCATCATCATCATCATCATCATCATCATCATCATCATCATCATCATCATTATCATCATCATCCTCATAGTAATCATCATCCTTACTTGATTTTATGATGTTGTCTCATTTTCGTGATGCCGTTTTTTATAAGCATATCGGTTTTATGATGCCCTTTTGGATTAGAATATCTGTTTTATGATCCCCTTTTTGATTAGCTTACTTTTGAAGCTCATACGGCATGCTGCAGAGCGTGGATATGCACTATAAATGCTATTATTAATATTATTATTATCATTATTATTTTTATTATTATTATTAGCCTATTATTATTAGTCATTTTAGTGTAGGCCTATGCTTATTCTAATGATGATGGCAGATTGAAACTCAATGAATTAAATATGTTTCCAAAGGTGTCCTTTTCACCTGTGACCCGATAAGTGGCAGCAACAGTTCCCTGGTCATCAACGCCAACTTTGGCCTGGGAGAATCGGTGGTGTCTGGCCGGGCAGACCCAGACACAGTACAAGTGCTGAGAGACCCAGAGTTCCCCTTTGACCCAGATGGTTTAGTGATTGGGACATCTAGAGCCGGGGAGAAGAAATTCAAGGTGTCTCAAGCAGGTACTGTTCCGACCTGGAGTTGATTTAGTCGCGAACAGATTAATGTGCTCTTTTGTTGATGTTGGCGTAGTATAATATACTAACACAGAGATTATGACACAGAGGAAAGGGCAGGTCCTGGAAAAGATGGAGAGAGGGGGGTCAGAGAAATATTAGTCAAGAACAACATAGCCATGCAACATGCGATGCAACAAACGAGAGAAAGACGTTTGTCTATTCCCTCAACACCGCATGGTAAAAGATGATAGAAAAAGAAAGAAGCGAAGTTAGTAAAGTGTATTATTGATATTATTATTTTATTGTGAAATGATAATCTTCATTAATGTTTCTGCCTACCGCAAGCAAGTACAATAACATTTCATCTCTTCATGATACAAGCTTTGGAAAAAATGTGTCATTTTTTTATTCTGGTGTGATATGGAAATTCTACAGTGATAGTCATTTGTACAGATGCACAAACAGTAAACAAGTTTAAGTTGTGTTAGTTAATATCTTGAGCCATTACAAGCGAAAGAGTTTGGGGGGGGGGATGCATCTTTTTTTTTATGGGACGGCTCTTTGCTTGCTTGGTCATCAATGCGTAAGTACACTTTGGTTTTTCCAAATTTCTGTGCCTCTTGGTGGAAGTGGTAATTTTACTTGTGATTGTGAACTTCAAGGAAATTTTTTCTTCTTCCGATAAGCTATGCAACTCAGAAATATAGTGGAGTCAGCTTATACCGAAATCTGGGGGACCTCTGGAATTTTTTTGGTTTGCCAGTTTTGCGGTTTGGAGAGGCTGCTCCAAGAGAAGAAAAGAAATGAGGGATTTTATTTACTTTCAGTTTACAGATTTTTCAGATTAAATGTGTTTCGTTTAAGCGAACTACTGTAATCATTTGTTTCTCAATTGTAGGTGAGGGAGGTATCATTGAGGAGGAGACGACAGAAGCTGACAGTTCTCTGTGTTTGTCTCCGCACATGATCCTTAAACTGGCTGTGCTTGGTGTTGAGGTAATACTCCATCAGCTTTTGGGATCTGTGGGGTAATCACAGAAGTACTGGGGACATAAGGTTGAACAGCAAAGGCAGCTTACCATGGACCTACAAAATGCTATCCTGAGTGTTTAGTATATAATGCCCTTTGGTGTTTTACTCTTTTTCTTCACAAAGGGTATCTTTTGAAAATATTAAACATTCTGATTTGAAGTGTCATTTAAGATAATTGTTTATTTTTATTAAAATGAGGTCCTCAGGAAGATTGAAATTGTATCTTTTCTGTCAATATTTTTTCTCTTGAAATTTATGTAAAGTTACTGTCTGTTTCTTTAATCATATATCTTTATCTCCAGTTGTTCATGTCCATCCTAATGCTTTTTAGATTTGTTTTGCATGTGCGAGAGCAGCGAATATTTAGTTCAAATTGATAGCTTCTTCGGTGGTATTTTGAAACCTTTTCTTTATTTACGAATTTCGATATGCGCATTTACATTTTATTGATTTTGTTAAGATGCCTAGTTCCTTTTCTTCCAAAATTTTATTGGTTGCTTGCCTCCTTTACATTTTGATCATTCATACTGAAATGTTTCTCCCTTCTTTTTTTAAGCTGGAGAAGCGTTTTGGATCACCTCGTGATATTGAGTGGGCCGTCGTGAATGATGAGATTTTTATGCTCCAGGTGTGTTTTTGCCTCTTAACGTATCAAGATATATATACTTTCTACCTTTGCTAAAAATGGGCTAACTGTATATGAAAGCTCAAAGCATAAGAAGACTAGATTTGATAGAAAAGGTTCTGCAGCATGTTTTATTGTTATTCAGTTTGTTTTTCTCTATTTCAAACAAATTTAATCTTTTATGATTACAGAAACCTCAGAGCTTAGGCTATTTTTATGATCATGTTGTAAACTGTTGGTTTAATGTTTTCAGGTACCAAGAGGATAGTAATACATTTGAAAAGAGAAAATAGGAAATTCTTTGTGTTACTAAACATGTAATAAGTTATGCACGCCCCGCCTACAATCCCACCCCCAAACTTATCATCCACCCCC